GGGTCTGACGATGACCAAAACACAATGTTGCCTTTCGCCGAAGCCAGGATTCATCGTATTGCACTGGAATTTCGTATACTCCTTCCAGCCCTAGTAGTATATCAAAATGCCATTGATAATAAACTTCTCCTTGAATTGTCAAAACATACATGTTAAAACCGAAATATTGAATTTAGAGACAATTTGTTGAATAGGCCAAGTCTTACCAGGATCTCATTCCATGTGGTAAAGTGCCTCGGATACAGATAAGTGGCCCTACCGTGAGTGATCGAAGAATCCACGAAATGTGAATTAGGTAATCCTTCTTTCAAGTCCTCCAATCGGTTAGTTTGGCACTTAAGTTAAAGCAAAATTGAGACTTTGCAATGCATTTTAGGCTTTTTATTTCAGTTTACGACCTACTGCTACAGCCCCTTAAACACAATTTGTAATGTTGGCGGGACTTTTGGTTAGCGCTTTATCGTGTCTAGTTGTGGTCTAGCAACCCGGCTTTACTGTATTCGTCTACCTCGAGTACGCCAAATGAACTTTGAAAATGTGGAAGGCAAACCATTAAACTGTCGGCGTCGAAAGAGAAACGTGCGTGCAACTTATCCCGTGCATCCCATGAATGCATAAAGCTCGATATCTCCGTGAAAAACCAACCCACTGTTAACTTTAAAGTTACTAAATTGTGGAAACTGCTAACTTTTTCATATTTAATTTTTATCACTTGACAACGTGATGAAACGCACTTACTGAATAACAAGCAGAGCTATTAAAGTAGCCTATTTCTTTCCTCATCTCGAGGTGGTTATTTCGTGTTAATGGAATAAGCCAAAATTCAAGAAATATGCCTCCAATGAAATTAACTAGCAAATTACTCATGTGGAAAAGACTAGCACTGGTATTGCATTAATTTAACCGTTTTAAATAAAGTAGAGCACATCAAAACGGACGTCGAAGGCGTTGATGGGTATGGATGTTTTTGACTATTATATCCTCTGTAGCAGTACTTTGTATTTTCACACCATTTTTGATGTTTTTGCTTTGTAAAGAATCGTTATTATCTCTTATCTGAGAGGGGCCCTTTGTCTTAACAGTTCATCCAAAAAAAATTAGTTCTAAACCCTAACTATTCGCCAATTTTTTTACACAATAACTATTACGTTCACTAATCGGTAGCAGTTGTGTTTAAATAAATGCAAAGAAGTGGGGAAAACCCAAGCAAATAGGTATAGCCAAGCCTAAATCCTCGCGTATTGATAGTATACTTTTAAAATGTTTGTGTTACTAGTAAAAACTTAGTAACTATCTTAACATTGTTGTACTATATTTGATTTGTTTAATGTGGCAACATTTCTGGGTTCAGTGCTGGCTGAATAGGCGAGAATTTGACGCATCGTGTCTTGGTGTGTCGTGAAGACCACACAGCTATCATGCCCCTCCTCTTGCCTACCGACAACTGCCATTTGTCTGTTGTGCCCACATGCACTTATGCAGTTTCGGAGTCTTAGGAAATAAGGTACGCCCGAATTCAAGCTCCCTAGTAGTTTCAAAATATATCGTTGTCAAAAACAGTTCCTCTACTAAACACTTGAGGAACACACTGAAAGCTTTGTTTGAGTTCAATACCAAAGCTCAAATGGATAATTCTGAAGTAATCATAAAGGATTGCTGATAATGCTTCTGATCCTTCATGCTCTGTACCCACCAAATCCACACATTTTGTTGCCACGAAGGAAGTGGATAAGGTTTACTTTTAGGTAGTATATTTTCTCCAGAATATGCACAAAACAGAAGTAAACCAAATCTTATGGGCGCTTGGCACCACACCGACAAGTAGTGACCGCCATGACGGAGACGACGAAGCTAGAGGTCCATGAGGTGACGGCGAGGAGGTAGGACCAGTCCTCACCCAGGATGGCGACGTATACCAACACCCCGATGATGCTGAGTGCAGTGCCAAAGTAAAGGGTGAGGAGATAGTAGAATCCCACGCCCCGCTGACCGATCAGATCCTCGTGGCTGCAGAAGCGCACGAGGCCGAGTATGAAAGCGGCGGTCCAAAGCACCACGCCGGTGATTAGGAGGGCTGCACAGGCCCACGCCGTCGTTGCACCCTGCGACTCCCCGTAGTGAAGGAGGTTGCCACCGGCCCAATGGTTTAAGCACACCGCCAGCACCATGAAGCAGAGCGCGAAGCCCAGCAGCAGTGACGAAGTGATTTGAGCGACTGGCGCCATAGCAACTGGTGTTGATGGGACCTAGACAGAGTCCAATAGCAGTGGGTCAATAGGAGCTGATGTCGAAGACTGAAAAATAACGATGGTAAAAAGATGAAAAGGAAGAGTGCAGATCGAGTGGATGTGTTTGGGATTATTTCAGTTGATATTTAATGCTTTTAAATTGATTTAACCTTAGACACATATTCTTCTTAAACGTAAATGTATGCAAGAATCGGTTAAATTGATGAGATCATGTCCACTAAAATCCAAGGCTAGCCTTGCTGATATTAGGATTTATAGGCTTCTCTGTGCGATGTGAAATGAGAACATCACCTTCCTCAATGTACACAATAGGAGGTACAATGGCTAGAGCTGGCATTGAATGTCGTAGAACGACTCCGAACCGATTTACATGTCTTGAATCACAGGGCATGGAAGAAGTTGATCTTAGGCTTTCCGTACTACTACTCTAAAACCCGAAATCCATTTGCTTACTGATCCTAATGAGATGTTGACCACTAAGCTACCCTTCATCAGATAAATCTTCACTTCAAGTTAGATCAGGCTTAATAAAGCTCAAACAATGGCTGGTTTAAAAAAGTAGAAGTTCCCCGTCATCGACATCGTGGATATTTTTTGAGTTGTTTGCCACTAAAAACTCTTTTTCTCCTCAATCACTCAGATATGCAAAAAAACTTAGGTAAAATCTACGAACATTGCTTAGAAGCGAGGCACCTGTCAAAGCCAATCTTTAACATAAAGTCTGTGAATAAATTATACTACATTTTAATACAAATTTTCACGAGTTTTGGAAGGAGACCTACACTGCGCAGAAATGTCAGTCTCTCACACGAGTGCTATCTGACACGATTATTGAACCCATGCGAGTCCACACGCTCGTGCCTTCACACGGACCAATCAGCCTCCCGCCATCGTCAGTGTGAATAACCAGCATTTCGTGGTGTGGTCCTTCACCAAACAGAAACACAAACTTAACTACTCACTCACCCGTGCATACACACAGGCAGAGAGAAAAACGAACACTTACACACACACACACACACACCGATATGGCACGAAAGTTGGTGGAGGTTAGTCGTCTGCCAGTGGTCCTCTTGGGCCTCGCTTTCATCCTCTCAGCAATTGCTGTGGGGACGCCGTACTGGCAAGGAAAGAGTCTTTTCGCCTCACAGAATTTGCACTGGGAGCAGTTGTGTGCAGCAGTGGGAGCTCTTCTGATCATTGGCTGCATCGGCACGGGTCTTGCCTTCTTCCTCGGCATCTACTGGACCATCTATCCGGACACTGTGGGGCCCATGCTCCTGGCCTTCTACATCACGCTCTATGTGGGTGTGGTAGCACTGAGCATTGCCGTCCTCGTATTCACTACTATGATCACAAAGACGTGGTCCTTTTTCATGGCCATTATTGCCTGCTTCCTCGCGGCGCTAGTCATTTGGGTCGATCTACCGCTGCTCTCGGTTACTCCGCTGCCATGGGGAAGTCGGCAGGTTCCCGCCCATTTGTAGTTTGTATAGCCCGCTTACGTGTTAATATATACTTCAGCACTTTTAAATATTAATTTGAGCTGCCTGCACTCCCATTCAGCCGTGGAATTTTTATCACAAGCTGCTGCGTTAATTTTACAGGTCAAAGCATGCGTGGGAAATACTGAAAAAAGGTATCATCGAAAACTAGTCGCTGCACTCTAAGTCTATCGAAGGAATTATTCAACTCAACCTCCTAATAGTGCTGCATACTGCTTAGTAAGAATAGGTTATGGGTTGTCTATGCTCTCATTACTGTCGGTCACGTTCTTCGGTGGATATATAATTTGTAAATGAGCCCCTCCTGGCTTTGAATAAGTTTCGTCAGGGCACGAAAAAATGCCCCTTGAGAACGCCAATGTTATATTTGACTCACTGCCTTATTTTGATAATGGAACACCTCTGTGAGGTCAGGATACTGAACTCAAAATAGATAATGACAACTGGAGAACCCAGATGCGGATATAATACGTTGAATCAACTGACGCACTCGAGTACAAACCCCATTTGCAGGGTCTTAGTTTGGTGAAATTAGCAAGACGCATACTTCTTATTAGCATAATTTATGTTTATAATTCATCATGTTGTGTAGTTTAAACGCAACAAAAAATAGTGCTACGAATGTTCTTGTTGCTGTTATGGTAATAACAGGGAGGTGCATCAAAGCCTTGCCACAACACGAACAATTAAAAATTAGAATTTGCACTCAGAACTGCGGAAGCGTGGAGGCTGCAAGGGACTTTTGTTAAAGGAGGCAAGAAACAAACTGCAGAAATTTTCCCTAGTTTTATTTTGACTCAATAGAGATAACGCAAATTCACGTAAAAAGAAACGTACAAAATCGCTACCCAGAAGCGTCAGCGAATGAAATCCATTTGCCTAAGGCACATCGCCGTGAGTCCGGTCTCAACATGGCTGTATGTAATGCACTTTCTTGTCCAAAAAAATAGACGAATAACCCGTAAAGGAGGCTTATTAGGCTCTATTAGCTAAATATTAGGGGTTAAAATCATTCCTCTACAGTTTTTAAAAGAATGAACATAAACACCTAAGCAACCAATTGTTAGCAATATTGTCTTACCGATCTATGTTGCTCAAATAGATAGAAATGAGACTGAAAAGTGGTCTGCTATGAGATCCGTCTGGGATACCTACAGTAATATTGCTTTAGCAATAGCTTGTGGTGCTAAACCCCAGAGCCAGAAATTATAACGAGCTATTTGCCGTTATTTTAATGCGTCTGATCGTGAAATTATTAAAATAGTAAGAATTAGCACTTGATTTGTCTTATTTTCTGTTGGTCCAAACCAATAGTCAAAGTTCTAGACACGAAATGACTCCGTCTTTAGCCATCAGAGCACCTTCCATTTGGACTGTGGCCACAGGGCGCTTCTTGCCATCCCGCACGGCGGGATCGACACTGAAACAGGAAGGGAGTATTTCTCAAAACAGTGCCTTCTCTCATTTCATTTCCCATATCTAATGGCTTGTAATAAATACCAGACCACTTCTGCAGCATAGTGAAAAGCACAAATCCACTTTCAAATAACTCTGGGAGGTCATTTTGCGCAGCTGACAAATTTACGGCAAAAAACTTGCGTGTTTTGGAACAAGACTTACGTGAGGTTGTGCTTGCCGTTGATGATGAGGAGGCTGTTAGGTTTCGACATAATTTTTTCATTAACGGACAAGTTTTCCAGGTACTGAGCAATCAAAGACTTCAAATGGCGGTTTTCCACCTCCAGAATTTGACGCTCTTTGAGCAGAGCCAACTTTTCGAGTTGAACTTTGCTGAAGCGACGCCAAAATATGTCGAGCGGTTCATAAAGCTTTAGCAACTACGTAAGAACAGACAAATTGGAATATTTATATAAGGTGCAGGAGCAGGGGATTTGACTAAATTAAGACGTGTCAGGTTCATAGGTAAGACGGATTTATGATTATTTTCTGTTTCAATGTGGGCGAGTTTAAACTTTTTTGTTTTTGACGGAACTCAAGAGATCCAATTAATGAATTTACGCTTATGTAGAATGCAAAATGATTTGTTTTAGCATGAAATTTGCTCAATCCTATAGGAGAGAAATGAGCTTGAATTTTTGTTCAAGATAAATATGTAACCTTAAATGCCTAATTTGGGGGCAAACCATGCAATCAGAGGGATCGTATAACCAAATGCACATCAGATTACTAGATTTGTGTTGCATTGTCGTGGCAGGTACGGTAAAAATAGATAAATTGAACAGTCAATGCAATTAGAAAACTGTGATTCACGTACTGCTTTAATTTCCGCATCTTCTTCATCATCACGTGCATCAGCAAGTTGTTTCTCGTCCTCCTGCGTCAGGCAGGAAACGTAGAAAGGAAGAACTTTTTCTTCCTCCGATTCCAAGTAGCGACACTTCTCTCCAAGCCCAATTATTGTATTGGCTTGTTTGACCATCTCACTAATAGCGTTGTGAACTGAATTGCTCACATTGACCATATTTGTCAATTTCAATAGTTGACGGTCACGTAGTTCATTTATTTGGCGTTTTAGATTAAGAAAGTGGGTTGACAAACGCTCGCGCTCATCTCCCAGCAGGCGATTCTTTTCCCTAAATTCTTCCTGGATCTTCCCTAGATGATTTTTAACTACGACAATTTTGAAATTAACCGTTTTCAGGTGAGACATTTGATTCTCAATGTCTTTGAGAGATTGATCGTTGCGCTTTTTTAGCACCTCGTAGTAGGCACGACGCTCTTCGGTGGCCTTCAGGTAATTTGTTTTAAGTGTGGTGAATTCTGTCCAAAGAGCATTCATCTTCGTCTCAAGCGTCATCCTCAGAGCATGCTTGTTTTCAATCGCCTGTTAACAAATGTTACTTATGTTGGTTAGTAGCATAATGCGGTTTGAGAAGAATTTCACCGTTGGAAAAGTACGACGATAGCGCATTTCTCAAAGTGAGATTTTGTCTCCCATTTTTCCCTTTCCATCATGAAGAATTGGTTTAGATAAAACCACATAATAGGTCAAGCCGATCGCCCATTCTCTTATAAAGTGAATCACAAATTCTACGCAATCGCTTGCAAAAATAAGCAAGGGAGGATATCTGCCATCCAGGCAAAGCATGATATAAAAGTGAAGGGCTAAGCCCACACATCAGCGGTTTATAACATAAAACTTGCGTTACTCTCATTCTTATGATACTTATAATATCACCACAAATAAGGAATGTACAATAAAGATTAAATAATTTCTAGTTAAGCCGATCTTTGTTGGACAAAGTGAGGTTCAAAATTTAGGTGAGGAACTTATGTTAAGTATGAAGTACACCAACATTAAATGTAGCAATAAAGATTCGTAAAAAAATGATTTACAAAAATGCATTTGTAACTTGTCGATGCTAAGGCAAAATTTCGAAAGGTGTTCTGTTAATATACCAAGTAACTCCAGTATGATTTGGAAAGTATAAGGAGAATCTTAAAAGGGTAGGAAAGTGGAGGCATTTTTAGAAACACATGCCTTGTTTTTCATCTCATCTCGGATGCTGCCGTACTCACTCCTGGCGGTTTGCTCCTTTTGTGAAAAATATTTGTCAAAAGCTACATAGGTGTCTTTAAGTTCATCTATCTGTTGTCGATGACGCGTCACCATATACATTTTTTCTAGCTTGAGCTGTGCATTAGTGATTACAATATACCCGCATCATATTCTCTTCTCATCATCGCGAGCTCTTCGTCAAACGAGTTCTTCATGCGTTCCAAGCGCTGATTTTGAACTTCTTGAAAATAAAACCATACCTCAATATTTTTGTTTGATTTGGGTGAAAAATATCAGCAAACTATTGTAAGATGTAACAGAGTAGAAAAAATTATTAAATATTGAGCTCTATCTTAAGTGTAGCAAAATACCCTAAGGTTAATGCTGTCGAAACTGAACAAGGCAAGGATAAATTCTCCAAAAGCAGCAAACAACACAAACATTGGTGTCAATGTGTAGTAATCGTATGTGATGTGTAAAGATACATGCTTCAAATATTTCTTCTCATATAATAATGCAATGCTTTTACTGTACGAACCAACAAACAAATCCAAATTGCGTAGGTGGTCGCGCAAAGCCATCATGTACTGCTCCTCTGATTGAGCCAGCTCAGTATCCAATGTTTTTAGTATCTGGTTTTTCCTTTAGAGAAAAAATTTAGTTGTGTATGCAGTAATACCTGTCTTTAACTCGCTCAAATGTGCTTTTTAGTATCTGTAAATCCCTCCTCATTTCATCTGACTTAGCTTCACGAAGTAACGTCCTCCACTGATGGTTAATTTTCAAGGTATTTATTTTGGTCATTTTTTCTTCTTTTTCTAATTTGTTCTACAATAGTGCAATTATTGTTAAACCAAACTTTTAGGTAATGCTGTAACAGGTCATTCCTTTTCTTCGCGGCGGCAATGGCTGCCAGCCGCTGTTTTTCTAAATGTGCTACTCTCTCCAGTTCCGTCATATTCTTCAACTTTTTCTTTGCCATTATATAGATTGTCCAGTATGACCTTCACTTTGAAATATGGTCCAAGTTAGTCGCTACGTTACGAGATAGACAAACTAAGGATGTAGCACAATATATTAGCTAACAGTTTGTCCTAAGCATCCGTCATTTCAATGCCTTTTTATATTTGATATGGGTTTGCAAATGCCTTAAACGATCGTAACCAGCTATAACGTAGGAGTTCAAAAATTACAGGACTTTGTGCAAGGATTTAAAGTATTGGATAAATGCAACAGCTCAATGATTTGCCCAGCATGAAGTTGGCAACCCCTTGACTTTTGGTATATATTAGTCAATACTTCTGTACTCGTGTTTTACCTTTAATTTTTGAATAAGCCTATCTTAATACGCATATTTCGCATTTCAAATTCAAAAAACTGTCAGCTTTAAATTACCCGATTGCCAAAATTTTGCTGCTTTAATCTGTCACAAGCTTTATTCTGACATTTTATTTGGGGTTTGCACAGCACAATTGACATAATTGTACCGCCCCGTGACCTTCATGAGGACGAACTAAGAGATATAACACTCGGACAGAATGTATGTATTCAATATGCAGGAGGGCCTACAGCTACTGGCATGGCCCAGAGGCCAGCCCACTCAGCGAACCTATAATGGCCAGTACACAAAGTGACCCGTTACCAAAACTGAGAGCTAAAAATAAACAGTCACCGTGTTGCGTAGTCCGTCTCCTCTCTTCTCTTCTCACCTCTCCTCAGCGCTCCCCTTGGCCAATCAACCCCTCGCATCAGCCATCATAACGCAGTCGGTGCTGTACCAAAAACACTCACGAACCAACCGTGTCAGTTATCCAATTCGAGTGCAGCTGAGATGATATTTGACTGCAATGTCACTGATCCCTCTTGGCAATTGTCCTGGATCTGCAGGTTTTCCTGCATGCGAACCGGATTCGAGGACGGAGAACTGTGCTGGCCATCACGTGTGTCCACAGCTAGTCGTGGGAGCACTGGCCTAAATGATGAATTATGTGGGGCTGCCCAGTCATGTATATCTGGGCTCTGTTTGGCTGGTCGAGAATAAGGGAAGGTATTGATATCTTTATGCAAATAAGTTAGGCAACTGCGCAAGGAGGCTGCACCTGACGGTTAACGGCCAAAGTCGTTCCTATTATTTATAGCTTTCCTGCAAACCACGGGACTGGAGTAGTTGCGAAGGTTAGACGTCATTCTCAGCCCTTCTGTTAGGGGTCGTCACCGACTCTCCTATCCATAGCATATGCGCTTCTTCCATCACGTCAAATTTTACCAACGCAACAGTAGAAATGAGACTAGTTGTACTTTAAGATGGGGTTTGCTTTGCGCTGTCCCTGTTGTGGCGCCATGCGACTTCCCTGAAGCCGAAGGAAGATATGTCACTTAGGTCAAATGTATATTGTCTACCTGCAGTAGGGACTGGAGCTAGTGGTATGTTCCAAATTCCAGGCCACCAGGCGATGGTTCTATGGTGGAGGACCCAATCGGCCCTTTATCAAAACCGAGCGTTAACCTAACAGCCAACGTATCAAATAATTATGTATTAGTAAAACAGTATGATTCCATTCTTTAAAATGTCGTGCTAAGGGAGAAATTGTATGCTGCATTTGAAAACCCACGATAACGCAGACGACTTTTGCGCTACTTACATTATGCCTTTCCTCCCGAAGTTCACGCGGGGCGTGCTTTTGGAAAGACTTCTCGTCTATGGTCCTACTTATTACTAGTGTATTGTTTTAATCAACAAGTGTATTGTATTATTTAAGGCACTTTACCTTTCTAGTTCTGCATTGAGAAGATTGGCTAGAGTAAGGCATCTCGTACTGTAGTGGTGTGAGATTTTACAAGTAATTAAATTTTTAAGGGGATTCAGATTCCATCCCTTTCATCGGGGGCCGATTGCGCCTTCTATGGCACGAGGTTGACTGCCCATCTGCCACCCAGAAAAATATATTCAAATAACCATGAATTTTTAGTGGGATAATGATGGATAATGATTACAAATGCCACAACAAGTGGTTTATTTGATTCTATCCTGTGAAAATAGAGCTAAAATATACTTCTTACAAATTATTGTACATATGCGAGAGGTTATTAGGTCCCTCCGTTTAGCTCTTGGTAGGTTTTTTTTGCAAAACTGTTGTGGAGGCCTTAAGCAGGAAGTATGCGGATCGAACGACGACGCTGTATCTCCGACTTAACCACCTATTCATGATAAAGTAAGTAAACAATCAAATCACGATGGCCCTATAGAGAGCGGGATCATTCATGTTTTCCTGCTCTACACCAGTCTTTTACCCTTCACTTCATTAACTTGACACCAACACTTGGCATTTGGCAATTCTTAACTATTCATCAATCAGTTTGCCTTTATCACCCCAACGACTTTGCCATTTTTCAAATGTGAACCGCTTACAAAGTAATAAAAAGGCCTTTAAAAAAGATTGCTGCTAGTTAACTACTAGAGGTGATTTATTTCGTTCTCAAAAGAAAAAAAAACAGAGAGTGATTGTTTTATGGTAAAGACAGTTTGATCAACATGAAAAGCGACAAATTAGCTAGCGGTAGAGTTGCATCCTCAGGCATCCACACTTATACGCTGTTTCACCTTTCAGTAGGCCCTAAAGTTTTTCACCGCTTACTTATGGGCAAATGCGCTCTAAATTAAATGTGGATACGTGCGTCAGTATTGCAGCGTTTCGGGACGGCCTTGAAGACGAAAGAGGGCAGAATGTGTATTGTCGACATACTGGAGGGATTGGGACTACTGACGTGGCCTGGAAACGAAGCAATCTGGTGGAGGTACATTTGTTGAGCCTCTAAGTGGTCCGTTACAAAAACTGGGAGTTAAACAACAAATAAACAGTACCTCAGATAAGCTATGGTACTGAAAGTTTCAAGCGTACATTTTGCAGGGGTTAAATTCACTGCAAATGACCTCGTAAGTTTATTCATTCACTGTTACTTGCTTAATCCTTCAGCTGATGGAAATTTCCATTGCCCACATTTTCAAGGACAGAACCTGAATGCCACCTCAATACTGTAGACGAATGATGTGTGGTAATAAGTCGAAACGCATGAATCCACTAATGATAACGCCTCATCTCTTACGTGCTTTTGAAAAGCCTTAGTGAATGCATTTCACAGTATGATCGTGTATTGTTTGCGATGGGAAATGTATAAAATAGTATAGGCTCTCCATCCGAACCATACCGCATGCGTCCCAGCGATTTCTAGTTATCACGACGAACAGTGGGCTCGCGGAGCAGGATCGCACATCATTGAAACGGTGCGACATTTGACCAGCGATTTTAAACAAGGTTTACAAATCACAGTGTGTATACTCTTGTGCTCGCGTCGTCAAGATACACTGTCACTTTTTGGCCAAGATCAAAGAAGAGCCAACATTCATTAAAGAATTACTGTCATATCTTCCCTCCTATTTGTTGAGTATTTGTAAACTTTAAGATATAATAGTGAGCTTAGGCGCCAACCACCATGTTCATCAAAGCAATGGACACCCCATGTTGTTTAGGTTACTTGCCTACTACGCGGCGCAGGCCAACTGCCTGGTTCTCTAATAAGTCCCGTTCCTTGATGCCTGTAACACTTTGATTAGGTGTTTAACTCTCGTGTTGGTTTTGCAAACACTTGAGGCTCCACTTTTGCATCTCCGCTCAGCGGCATGGCCTTGGGTCGTGCCAGTAGTGATTCCCTCCCCCAGCCCCTTTATGCATCGGTAATGCCTTTTCCATCCGAGTATTACGACTTCTTTCCCCTTCAGGAAGAACTTGGGACGTCACACTGCCCATTATGGAACTTGATGTTGAAATCAGTGCAGTTACACCTCTAACCGATCATGGATTAGCCAGTAGCTTTTGTTTGAGAAGCGGTAACCAAAGTGGTGAAAAAGTTGTTAAAAGTGGGGTCCTAGAACCATGTCAGTTTCTACCGCTCCTTTCCGTCAATCGGTTTGGCCGTTCAGTGAGTTAATTGATTAGACAACTATGTACAGTTTACAAATTAAGCTATTACAGCGCCCCAAAACTTCTCAAAAAATGAAAAGATAGGTAATGCATCGGAAGACTATGTTTTTTGATCTACACAAGACTTGGGAGCTACTGACATGGCCCGGATATTAGGCCGCCCGGTGGGGGTACAATGACGGAGCCCTTAAATGGTCCATTACAAAAGCGGGAAGTTAACCAAACAAATAACTTATTACACTATTTTGGGTTCTGCTAGCCATAAGATCAAGGAGTATTTTAAGTATTTTTACAAATATTTAACATAGCTTCTTTGTAATGCTAATTGGTTGTCATGTCATTTATTCAACAGTTTGGCCTCTTAGGTGCGAAATAATTCGTGAATGTCACGAGTGAAATTGTGCCTCTTCATAACCATTCAGTTTTTTACTATATAGGCTTCTTCAAAATCCTACTTGATATTTAGCTGTGATCCCATTTGAGAGAAGGAACGTTTTGAACGAGTCGTATTGTTGCATTCGTTTAACCGCAAACGGGCCGCGTGTACTGGTCCCTCATTTGTAAAAATGCCGAAATCCACCGAAGAAGTTTAGCACAAGCCTTTGTTAATCCAAAATGAAATCCTGTTTATCGAACATCCTAGTGATCTCATCATGACGATCACTCTCAGAGGCCAGTGAACTTGACTGTTAGGCTTGTTGAAATGTGGATGTGTCACGAAATTGCATTTTAGTTCTGTCCAGTTGGGATTTAAAGTCTCGTGACCCGCCCTGCACTGCGCTTTGCAAAAATTTCGACAGAAAGAGGGGGAGGGTGGAATAACATGACCCGATGGTGGGTTTTTGGTTGGCAGGCAGCATCTCCACTCACATATTTAGTAGACTTTGACCAGTTGAGGAAAGGAGGCTAAAACAGTGCTGGCACCATGGGTTTCATGAAAACGCCTTTGCACCCACCACCAACACATACACACACATGCGAATGGACTCACATTTTCAATCGTGGGCCTTCAACGTGCACAGACGTCGTCGGCACTGCGTCGGTTCTGCGGATGGCGCCTGTCCGCTAATGCGCGCCTACGCCAAGCCGAGCCGACGCTGTGCCGCGCTGTGCTACAATTCCTTCAGGTCAACCAATGAGGGACAGCTCCATTCGGCACAAGGTGATGGATCCATTTCAGCACAGCAATCATGCCAACTCGGTGAGGGGTACGAAAAGCCCAGGTGCGTTGAAGATTTTTTCGTTTTTTTCTTCTTTTTCATTAACTCCCATTTCAAATTAATGCGAATATGTACCACGATTGCCTATGGAATCCTGCAGCATGGTTTCCACTGTATTTAAAGCTCAAGATTTTTAGCTGAAAATAATAAAAACAAAGGTTGTAAAATTGGCATTTTTTTATTCAATCCCTTTGAGCTGTTGCATAAATTCGGGTACCGCAAATGGGATCGGGATGAAGCTCCCTTCATTTGAAGAGATATGTATTTACTTAACCTACTGGAGAGATTTTCACTTCTTCTGCGAGTTCACCTGACTCCCTTTGTAAATTCATCAAACTTCCTTTCCACTACCGGTAATTCGTGAAGATTTTGTTGAACTCTGCAGGGCAGTGAATGGTCCACTGGTGTATTAAGTGAGAGCATCAATGGGTGATGACCCACTATGTAAGGGCCAGTGTAGAAATGAAGTAATATTCCATTACCAACCACAACCGGAATGGGAGTCAGCTAAATCCGCCATTTTTATTTGTGACGTTTCAACTTAAAATCATTAACCAGGATTGGGCAAGGTCAATCACTCCATTTCAAATACCTTTTTATGAAGTACCTTGCATTACATCAACAATAGATGATAACCAAAGTTGTGGGGTATTTTCCCCCAATCTGCGTCATTTTAAGGATATTTTCCATTTTAATTATTAGTACCAGTCGTCCCCGCTCAGTAAAATTTTGTAAGGTTTGGTTCACAGACTATTTGCACATTTTTTTACCTCTTCATTCATTTAAAAACTTGACCAATTCGAAATAGCTATTTGGCTTACTCAGATGATTACCATTTGGGTAGGCGTCATGACTGACGAGCGCAGCCAATTTTAACATTTGTTGTCCCAACATCCTGGCAGCAACACACTTTCTCTCGAGTCAGGGGCATGCCTCCTTCCATTCACATTCGACCTGGATTATGGCAATCCAGCCACTTTAGTGGCAGAAAAAAATGTTCACTCTTGTTCCTCTCAAGCAGGTAGCAACCCAAAATTGAGAGAGAGTTCCTCAAGTACCATCGTGCACCATGTGCTTAGAAGTAGTAGTTATCATCTCCTCCCTCTACTCCCAAATCAGATCAATTTTGGTTAAAAATCCAAACGCTAAATGGCTTTACTCCTTCGAGTGGATGTACACTCTGTCTCGTTAAGATTAGAAGCATTAAGACAACCTACGAAGCTTTTATGGCTGCATCAAAAAGTTCTCCTTATTGTCCTCCTCACACTCCATTCAACTTGCCACTTATTGCGGAAGTGGCGTCGTCTCAGGCCTGGCGTCAGCACAATTAGGCCTTGGGCAGGGGATAGAAGGAGCAGGCTCACAAAAGCCGCCTTACCGATCCCCCTCTCCATCTCACTCTCTCTGGCTGCCTGTACGCGTGTGTGTGTGAATGCATGCATCCATAATTGACGGCAATTAGAAGCAACAACAACAACTCCGACAACGACAACGACGACGACGACACCAGGAACAGGAGTAGTAACAGAAGCAGTAACAAAAACACCAAATCTAAGGCGTACCCTTGCACCATCACCACCACCAGCTAATTTGTCTGGTGCCAAACACGTTGTGGATGTATGTGATAAGCGCTGCGGAGGCGGAATGGATTGCACCCTCTGTTTCCACTTTTTTTGTTCTCGCTCTGTCCCCTTCATATTCTTCTCTCTTTTATCTTATGTTAGCGATTAGGCGCGTTGGCGACTGCAACGCCTTCTCCCTTAATTTATTGAGAGATTGATCCTACTTTTTGTAAGTGCTAAATAAGACCTTGTGGCTGCAGAATTGACATTACTTGCCCTTTTAAAAAGAAGTATGCAAGTGTGGGTTTATTTATTTTCCCCCACATTACGGTTCCACTTTAAAATTTAACTAAATAATGCAAATGAGACACAGGCTTTGTATCCGTACATCACTCTAATCCGTCTTTGCGTATGCATGGTTGTTTTGAACAGACCAAGTGAGCCATTGGATTAACCTCGGGAATTAATGTTAATAGCCACTCGTGATTACGCGACATCACATTAAAAAGGCGAATCACAAAATCAAGGTCCTCTTTTTTAAATGGGAAGTCATCACCGAAATCTGATCGGATAGCCTAGGAAATTTACAATGACCCAAATAAATGAAATTGCCTCCCTTGAAATATTTCATGCTTTCCCTTTACAATTCACTTCTGTCGAATTTACCTACCCGGGCTTAGGAGTATGCTCCACCAAAATTGCCTTGTGGCCACTAGGTGTTTATGTCGGTAATCCAATTGAGATATTTACCTTAGCAGTATAAAAGTGGAAAAGTGGCAGTGTAATGTAAATGTAATGCCTACGATAGTGTCTAATTAAGTCCCATGAAATATAAAGGTGTAATACTGCCACAAGTTTCCATAGTTATTTACTCAAAGCTGCCACACACTATATGGCATCATTGTCAACTTTCTTCTCGTGTGAGCAATCGGAAGAGAAGTGAAGATGTCTTTGTAAGGTGGGATCAGGATGTAGGATTATCTACCAGTGACCAGGAGATGAAAAGTCAACAACAGAATCAATCCAAAACTCTGTCATTCGGTAGTTGTTGACTGGTATATTTTTCAAGGCGTCAGTTCCATTGTGTTCACGAGTGCCACTGTGCTTTAATCTCAAAATGACGTGAGGAATAGTCTGTCCAGGGCGAACGTCCGATCAGTTCCAACTGAAGTGCAGGGAATATGCGGCGATGTGTTTGTATTAATTACTTTTAAAAAAGTCACTTTACACTGGCGCCAGTGGGGGCAATCGATCAGTGGGGAGAAGGCTCCACCCTCCCCCACCACCACTATTGCCCCAGCCTCCCTCCTCTCCTGCCTGCTGGCTTGCCTGCCCTCCCGCCCGCTCGGCCGAGGACACCCAATGTGTCAGGCGACGCTTTTGTGTATGTGGAGGGGTTGGTTTGAAACCGGCGCCACTGGGTGTAGGAACAGCTGATTCGGCCTGCCTCCTGACAGCCTTTGGCGCCATTCGTAACTGCGAAAATGAGAAACGAATGGGAAGTGGTGTTGGAGAGGTGCAAACCAAATGGTGATTTAAGTAATCGTCCCATCTAACCCTCTTACTCCTTCTCTCTGTCGCTCCCAAATCTCCTTCTATCCACTCCAATCGGTACCTCTTTAAATGGCCTCATGAACTTCGCATTATACCTCAAGTCGTTCATTGGCTTTCCTTTCCTATTCCTTTGTAAGTGTTGTTGCATTAGGTGGGACATCTAAAATTTTCTCTCTTCCTCAGCATCCTCCTAATGTTCAATATCGTTTTTCAATGAAATTCTGAAAGCATTGGCCTGCGTACAATGCTTTCTCATTCGGCTAGATTGACTTGACAACAAGCCGAATAAGCTGTATTTTTAACCATCAAATTTATGCAACCTTTGGTATTACAGGGAATAAGTCATAAGGAAGGAAAATATCGAGCAAATGCTGACGACCCGCTGCTCATTGCAGTGGACTGCTGTGATATAATCGGCCTCTCAAAAATTATTAAATGAAAGGCGCCTTAGGAAAATTGTTTATTTGTAATCAACGTCTGCCTTTCCCACAACACTTTGTGCACCAGAACCATCGGTTCTATGCGCATATTCAGAAGAGATAACTGCTAAGCAAACTGATATCTTACTAAGACAACATAACATGACATTGGGTGCGTAGGACAAAACACGGTGGAGTCGAATTCTATCACGAAGTGGTTCCACGGGCCTCCACCGTTGTTTAGTAAAGTTGCGAACCAGCAAAGGTATGAACGGAGAGCTGATATCTCGGCCGGTGTCGCAGACCAGCCAAGGCTGCAGACGAGCTACATTCGACCCCCTGGTTTGAAAAGCCTGCGCTTCTTGTTACTTCCGTGTGTACTGTTTGCAGGCTTAGACACGGCGCCTGCTTGGGTCACATAGTCCATGGCCATAAGGTGGCGTCGGTGCCACCGTTTTTTGCACACCGAGAGGTTCGATTTAACTTCGCTGGGCCACACAATGCCACCTTAAGTGATTTTTTTTATTTCAGGCATCAAACAATTTACGCTGTTACATTAAGATGACGCTCAAATTTATCTGACTTCTCACTATCCTTGGGTGCAATGACGCCAAATGAGCTATAGCGATACCCAAACGGATATTAAAAGACTTCACACAGCATTTCGACGCATGCTTGTCCTACTAAAATCGAGAAATTCGTAGACATTATTCCAGTAAATTGTCTTAATTACACATGTATTGTTGAACCAGGATATTTCTGCAAATTTTGGCGTTGAGACTAGGAGGGATTTGGTGTTTTTGGAATACTTGGAGAAGTTTATTTCAGCATTCATCTTAAAGTAGGCGACTGATTCAACAATCACAAGCGGCAGAACCGAAGTGACTAGAAAACACTTACCTCACCTGATGTCGCATTTTGCTGAAATCTCAGGCAATAATCCACGAATAAACACTTCAGTATGCTTTGTGAGGTAGGTGCTACCAGGTATGAACTTGTTCCCTGGCCATTCGACATTACTCTTCGCCCAGATTAACATTTTGCCTCGACAAAAGGAACTTAATCTGTATCTATTTCGAAGCAACATATTACCGAAAGCTCTTGCTTACCAACGCAAATACGGTTGTTAAAACACCTTCTTGACTTTCATACGAACTTCCGTTGGCGAAATTTTGCTTTTCCTGAAACTCGTTTATAAAGTGGAGTCAAACCAGTTGACAGCTGCGCACCTAGTTTTATTACCAAGATGAGCATCCGCGATTGTGCGATAAGGATAGAGACACATTGGGACGTTTCTGCTTCATCTAAAGACAATACAATGAGGCGCAATTTATCTACCTGCATTTTGGCACAAACTTTCAGCTGCCTCCCGATATAGTCCCGGCGTCGCTGCAAGTATAGGAGAAAAAAAACTTTTTCTCCTCAAACCTGCTTGAGGGAGAGGTTGGCGCCCAACAACTAGCGACGCCAAACCCTTTCCCCCTAGAAACTCATCCTTGTCCCCCTCTTCCCTCCCAACTCACCCTCTCTCCCATAGTCGCCCGAGAGTATAAAACCGTCAACCAACCAATCAACCAACCAACCACCCAGCCAACCATCCACGCGCACTACTGCATGAAGGTTTCGTGCGACGACGCACTACCACTACACTCATCGCTTGTGCGCCCATATGGCTCTGACGCCGTTCGCATAGGCCAGCGGCGCCGTCAGGTGTACACTGCAGTATGCATGTGTGTGTGTGTGCGTGTGTGCAATTGGAGAGTATTTCACCGGCAGGCAGGCGTACATAAGTGCGCCCTGCTTTCGCGGCGCCTTGCCCTTCAGACGCCAGGCTAGGCTAGGCCATGCTAGGCCTCTCCTCTCGGCATCGTCATCGTCGCTGCAGCCGTTTTGAGGGTTATGCGTAGTCACCATTACTACGTGTGTCAGGTGCCTCTTGCCCATTGGCTCCGACTGAGAGCCAATAGAATGTACGTAATCACGCTCACTTTGGCCCCATTTGCTATAAATATGAATCGGACGGAGATCGCACGCAAGTATCACCTTGAACAGGTATCATTTCCATTAAGATACGCTATGTTTGGCTCATGAGCTTGATAGCTTTCGCTTTGAACAAACAAATGATGTTTCATTCCATTCTAGATAGCCCGCTTACGATACGGACGAACCACGCAATCCATGGGTAAGCCTGAACCGTTTTTACCAATGACTCCTCGAGAATACTTCTACACTGCTTTTACCAATACCGTTTGGGGCAGATTAATCTGCTAATTGGTCCTAGAACTAGCAACTGAGATAGGGTTTACCCTTACCTTAAATTTGAGTCATTAATCAGTGACAAGTAACGCTTCAAATAAGTGATATCACAAATGCCATAACATTTCATCTGGTTGATGTACACTTGACATGATAGTAGGTGATTACGGTAGTCTTTCACGGATGTGTCACAGAGCGAAATAACGGTTATTTTAGTTGTTGTTATCGTCTTTTCTCACCCCATTAGGGCCAGTGTCTTGTTTTTTGCATGCGATTTGTATTTGATTCCAGATTTGACACTCCAAAAAAGCTACTTACCGCTAAGGTGTTCTGTATGAATTTGATCCTATTCGTTGCCATTTTTTTACTTTATCAAATGCATACTGGGTTAACCATTGATGTAAGAACTGATTTCGAAAATAAGTGAAATAAAGTGCATGTTTGTCATGTTATCACTTTTGGTGTAAAATATTGCTTGAAATCTGCAAATCGCCTTGACCGCCCTATCAGCTGTCAACAGTGTTTTATTTGCCAATCTCGCGAATGGTAGACAGTAAACAAATAGGGAGACGATGTGGTGTCACAAGGATTCATATCCAATTGAGTCCTGGTCGATGGGACCGAGGCTGTCCACCTGTGTATACAGAATGGAGTGATTGGCTACTAGAATATCACATGAATGCGGGTCCCGTTGTCGGCAGATGGCGTCAGAGAAACGAAGGCACCTTCAAGTGAGCGACATGTCGATTTAACCGAAATTGCGCTTGGCGTTGACCTCCGCCTACCTCGAACTTCTCATACACCACAAGGGTCAAAAGTCGCGTGGAACGCTTTAACAGAGTCAACAAAAATATTATTCAGGAATGAATTTCAGTGAACCATTGGTTAGTTCTCCTATGCTCTGGAGAACGTTTCAATGTCCCTCTGAAAAATCTTCTTAGGGTTGGTGTCCACTTTTCCATTTTTAGTTTCAAGTGTCCCAAAACAGAGATTAATAAGGATAAAGAGGGAAGTTGGATTGCACCACAGATTATCGCTGCTGGGCATAGGCAATTGTACTGCTCAAATTTGACGTAAAATATTCTGAATAGAAGTATAGAAGTGGTTAATTTATATCGCATGTAAGCGGACCTACGGTGCTTCACTAGCCCGCAACAATGCGAAGTATAATTAGCAAAATTTTTGCGCTGATATTATGGTCAATTGGAGGCAGTGTCCGGAGGCATCGGGACCGTCAAAGGGAGTAGCTCAAGGTATATTTATAAATGTGGTGTTTAAATTTACCATGGACATTGTCTATAGCTGGCAGCTAAGCTCAGTCAACTTGTTTCATTGGCCACTTTTGCCACTTTTGATTAATGTGCTGTATGCGGCTCTTGTTCTTGGTAATTTTTACCAATTATGGCTCAAAGACTAGCCGGTTGCATGTCTAAGTACTGGCATACTATAGTTTTTTACTACATGATTTTCTTCCTTCGAAACGGTATAATTGAATCGCTTCTAATCTGGCGCCATACCATAAAACAGAACTTGAAATGCGACAACAGCGATGCATTTTTAGGGCGCAACTTCTATAATCCAGGAATTGACAGAAGCTACAGCACTTTATTCACACAAAATGCATAGTTTTTCCTATTTTCCAGACCCTTTTACCTGTGAATAAATTCAATTTCCTTTTTTGGTGAGTGGTGAGTGCGTTGAGAAGTCCCCAATATTAATTCAAATAGGATTATTTTGAAGAAATAAGGACTAATTCTAAACTGTAACAATGGTTTCATAACGGGTCTCAGAGAAATCAGGGTTTAATAACAAGTCGTGATAAAGCGATTATTTTTTTTAGGTATGAATGGTCTTAATCTAACCCACGATGGCGCAAAGACGCGCGTTGAATGCACATGCAGTCCTTTATGAACTTGCATAACCTGATTGTTTCAGAAGTTCAGTTCATGAGGTACTCTTGAAACCTTCGGTCACACAATTTGATGACCTCCGTAAGGCGCTCAGGCTTGTTTGATTTGGTTGAGTAGTGTGATGCTTGTAGGGGGCTTCAACTCAGGTAGTAAATAAATGTCATGGCAATAGATACTTGGCCACTCAGCTGTCTTGTACGTTTATTTTGAGGTTGTCTGTAAACGTTAATGATGATGGTTACTCGGTTTCTTATTATCGTGAGAAGTGGTAGATGTCGAAGACTTCCTCACAAAAGACGGTACTGGGTCACGACTATAGATTTTCTTGAAATAAATGACTAGGCAAGTGCCAAGGGCAAGCATTTTAACATTATCATGAATGCAACCTCAGGGCAGTCGTGAGATAGGAGTGAATTCCAAATTGTACGTGTGCTCAACCACACCGGGGAAGTGGTACAAAACGAAATAGTAGGCACCATCTCAGTGTGGCCTTTGCGGCACGTTAAAAGATACAGGGGAAGGGGGAGGGTGAAGGGGGCAGAAGAATGGGGGAGGGATGGTGACGAAGGCTGGCGTCGCGGTCTGCTGGCCAACGGGGGGGCGTTTAGAGAGGGAGAGAGCGAGATTGAGAGTGAAAAAGGCAGAGGCCAGCAGTGAGAAGCGGACGTCGGCGCCAATGCCGCAAGTTAAAGCATTCCTGTGGCTTTTGCTGACCTTCTAGTCGCTGGCGCTGCGTTGACACACAGCTGTTACGGGTTCGCCTCTTTTGACTCCATTGAATGGCTTACCTGTCTACTTCCACTTGATTGACTTCTTTGGGTGGAACGATGAACGATGCTTGGCTGTACTCAAGCCCATAGTTCAGGTTACTGTTAGATTTTGACATTCCAACCATCAGACAGCTAGCTTAGGGGAACTTCCATTCATCCTATAAAATTGTGATTTTGTTTAACATCATTAAAATAATTGTTTTAGACCAATCACCCCTACAAATTTTTTGTTCAACTTTTTAATAATGTGAATGCATTTTACATTCTCATCCGTAATTACTCTGAGTTAGACTTTACATCACAAATCCCATGGTGTACTTCGTTGGTTTGGTTCTCCCAAATGCTAAGGAGAAGTAACCGCGCCGCCTTTCAGTCGTAGTGAATTTTCAGCGTCCAGAAGTTTTAGAACGCAGCCTCTAGTCTTCACATTACATGATGCTCTTTAATCGAGATATCTTTTACTCATTTGAAGTTGCACTGCTTGAGTGCAAAAATGTGCACGCAACTTCCGCCTTTGCTTTGGATAGGCCTCCGTCTGGAGAGTTGAGCCTTATTATGTAAATTTCTGCTTCAAGGCAACTTTTCAATGTCCTGTGAAATGCACTAACTGTGAATACGGCAGCGACGGTTTTGACCCGCTTCTTTCACCTTGTGTATTAGAAGCGCAGTTTTGTCCGTTGAACCGATCCTTGTGAAGTTGCATTTATCAAGGAAGGGAACAAAAGCAGAGTGCTTCGATATAGTTATTTATGTCATGAATTGCCATGTCAATTAGCATTAGTGGTCTCATTAGGTGTTTTGATGTCTTTTTAACTTGAAGCAATCGAAAATTCGCTTATTTAAATTCTTATTAGGGAAATCTAATCAAAGGTGAAGAGGACATTTCCGGTTCATTTCATCTTACGCTCTTGAAACGAGGAATGCGCCTAAGGGGAAATGCTTCCTTTGAAAGGTTTAAGCTCACTTACTTAGGCTGAACATGGTTAAGTTGGTTGAACCAATGCTGGACCAGTGCGTCTGCATACAATCAATGTATTAAGATGGCATAAATCACTGGATACTCTTCGTTTTGATTACAATTTTAGTTCACACACCCATCTGACTGGTGGTGCAGCTAGTCAGATTGAAAACCGTGCCAAACCGTGTTTTGTACTATTGACGGAGTGCCTTAATGCATAACCCTTTAGATAAAAAGGATCGCACTAGAAACGGTCCAGCAAGAGGGGGAACGCAAAGGTAAACCTTAATGTGCATACCGAACCTGATATTTTCGTCGCCATTAGCTAAAACTTGCCCTTCCTTGGTCACATCACTTGGAATTGGTAAGGTTGAATAGCACAACCGGACATTATTGTGTCACTGATACTACCCTTTATCCCTTGACTTCAAGGATCACAATAGGTGACTGTATAAGGCGCAAGTTTTACTTCGTAAAGGCGTTCTTTAAAACCGTAATGCTTTAAAACTTTCATAAACAGATATGCTAACTGTGCCCAGAGCGCCGCATTTGACTGAAAGGCAAAAGGACGCATTTACAAATCAGAGCGACTCCGGATGCGTTTTGGAGGAATGTTGCAAGAAGCCTTGGTCGCACATCTCATACTGGGAATGTAATCGTCACATCGGTCACAAGTGGCTGCCAGTCATCACCTCCGCTTTGGTTGTCCTCAACGAGGAGCACTATTCTGTCTCCGCTGCCACCGCAGAAAATACCTCCACTCATGCCGTTTGGTCACAACAGGGCCGCCTTTGTCTGGACCGTCTAGTCCGCCATTTCACCTCGCCGCGAGCCTTCAGTGAAGAATCGCACCCCAGTCGAAAAAAATACCATCCGTCCATCCTCTATTCCTCCTCACCAACAAAGCAACGACGGCGTCTCTCCCATGAGGGAATAAGCCTTCTGCTACTGCCAAAAGGGCAAATCCTCCTGACAAACAAAACACCCACCACACCCATATTTGTCGCCTCGCCATGTTTTGTGCAACCGGGTGATTTAATTGCCGGTGACTGGCCAGTCTATCGTGTTGCACCGGCCTGTTCCCTGGTGGTTTTCGACACGCGGATCTACGAGGATCGACTGACAGAGGCGGGCAAGTACACGCCCTGGCCGGGCAAATCGCTGTTCGGACCGGTGCTACACATCAGCTTAGGTAAGGGCTGGGGTCCCGCTTACCGACGCACTGACTTCACTCACTGCCCTGCAAGGCTCGAAATTTGGCTAAATTTATCCACCATCAAATCGCACACATCCAGTGGCTTGCAATGATAAGGAGACCCCACTCTGAATATGAATGTCTCGGTCAAAACTTGCCAGTAGGCGGCTGTGAATTGCATTTAACTAATTATTTTTTCTAATAAAACAATCTAGCAACAATTATACTGTTTTGCACAAGAAATTGCCTAAAGTACAATACGGCCCGTTTAAAGCGGACGAAATATACATTACTTCACAAGCAATTACTTAAAACAATAGGAGGCTCGAAGAGTGTTTAGCTGTGATGTGACACCTAATGATATTATTCAAATATTATATATTTAGACTGGTCGTTAGGGATAACATGTCTTAACTTCCCTTCCTTTCCAAGTCGTGCGCAGCATTGAATTCAGACGTTCATTGTAGAACCAGATTAGTTCAGTTTTCCATTCGGGATTTCTTTGTCTGAGTAAAAGAAACTGGTGGCTAACGTAAGATCCGGAAAATAAGTGGCATCAGTATTAATAGCAACGAGAATATACAAATAACAATGCCAAAAACAGTCCAGAAGCACTTTTAAAAGAAATGGAAAGTTAGATTTGGCTGTATAACTCCTCATTTTGGTTGCACGGGCATTGAAGGCCACTGTCATTGTGCTTCCACTCGGTGACCTGGTCTGCGGGCTGGGCCAGTAGCGCCTTATCTCTTTCGTACGTCGCTAATGCATTTTTCGCCCTAGTACTGTGATTTCTTTTGTATTCAGGAAAGTCTTAAGGTGTCACCTTGGTAGCGGAGCAAAGCGAACGCAGTAGTAATTGATAACCATCTTGAATGAAAATTAACGTCACGGAAGAAACGCAGATGCTGCAAATGGAAGAATTTGTGACACCCCTAGCAAAACTGTTAAAAATGACGCCCACCTTCAGCTACTACCCAGTTCTGTATTCCACAGAAATGCCATTCACAGCAGAAGTGATGCTAGTGTTGAGTCGATTGGGAAAGTTTGCATGAAGATGCCAATAAAGTGAGCACTCAGTATCTCCCTAATAGCTTGATGGGATTCAAATAGATATGACTGAGCAGCACTGAAGTGAGCACAGAGTAGCAGGGAGGAAAGACGGAAAGCGTTATCACAATGAGAATATTTTAAACCCCATCCTTTAGTAAATGACTCTACATTTCGGCCAGTTATCGTATGGCTACTGGTGGGCATCAAGACGGCCAGCGCATTCCCCACTTCCCCAGTACAGCTCTTAACCAGAATGAAACCTTAGACTCGGCAGAATTGTTAAGAGAGATCGCTGACGTTACTGTCAAATATCTTCCCAGTTGCACGCAAATTCGATGACGCGTTGTAATGACCAACGCATTAGGTTGATTAAGTTGTGCGTCAGAGACGCTCAAGCAGGAGGAGCGATTACGTGATACTTCGATTGCATGCTTAACTCTTCGTTCGGATAACCTGAGCACGTAAGACCTTGCTTGTGTATTTCTGCTGGATGGTATGGCGTCTGTGCCATGTCAGTAGACCCCTAGCACCTCCGTTTGTCTAAAATACATTTTCTGCTTTGATAGTATGACCTCTTTCGATGCCAGATGAGTCTCGGGTCCCTGCACAAGTGTGATCAATGACAAAAATCTACAACAAGCTTTTATAAAAGTCCTTTAAAATCACCTTAGCACTGCTGCTAAATGTGACTCTTTAATTAAATAACAATATTAAGGCCAAATGTGTTGCTTTAATGGTTTGCCTCCTGGCTATGCCAGAGGACTTAGGATTTTGTTCACTAGTAATGTGTTATTTTGTATACTACTGCGAATTCTTGCAACTCAAAGAAGAAATTTTAGCATTACAGCAATATTACAACATAGCTTTCTATTACTCATGCTTCTGAGGGGAAAAAACAATAAAAGTCGATTTTATGTCAAAATTAAAATATTAGGAGCGAATGTTTGAATTGTGCTTACTAATAATTAGTTTATCCGAAAAACCTTAGACACATGTCCTTAGGCAGGATTTGCTCTACGACAAATTATTAAACCTAGGTGGGACATTACTTTTTAAATAAAACAGTATTTTCACCTGAGGTCATTGTACGTTGCCTGCTGAATAACATAAAGGTCGCGGGGCTAATCTGTGGTAGGCTTTGTTTGTCAAAGCTGGTTTCTCAGAGTTTTGAACCGTTTGAGGTGTACATTTGGCATATTTATGCTGTTATCCAAAAGTATAGTTTCGACTCAGGTATCCCAGTTGGTATATCTTCTCAATACCTTGCCCAAAATGGGAGCTTCTACCAACTGGTTAATGTTTTGTTCTTTTTCCGATTTGACTTTTGGCAAATTTCATGCACTTCTGTTCACGTATTTTGTGGAAATCGATGGTTAGGTACAATTTATGCATTTTTTTAAATACCGGTACAGTTTATTCCGAAAACCTGGTCCAGTTTCCTCTAAAGTCTGTCACATTATTTAAGTCATTTTTTCGGTATTTTCTGGATCTTGTGTCTTATGTAACTTCTGTTTTAAACCTAGTTATTTCGTTTATTGTTGCCCCACATTCGGCCGAATATTACGCATTAATCTAGTTGTTGTAGGTACCAGATTGAAATGCAACGGCCCCCATCATTCGTCTTACTCGACCCAGATGTAAGCGTTGTATTATTCTAATGAGATTTATGTTAGACTCAGTCTTCTTCCTCGGGTACGCTACTATCCTGTTTTTTCTAACTTGAATTGTGAGTACATACCTATCTATCTGGGAATCTGCATGTCATTTTCTAGAACATGAGGATATTGTGGAAATTCCGTATGATGCATCAAAGGAGCTGAGTTTTTCTTCGGAAGAAGTAGTTTTTGATGTACCATTGACTTTTAATAAAGGCCATATCAAAATCGACTCGAAGATCGAGGCTCCTTTCCCGTATGCTTTTATTACTTTCCTGTGTGTCTATCCTTCTTTATGCTATTTTTATTATTTTGTACGGATTTAGAAGGTGGGGCTTTATGAGCTCAGGGAAACGGTTGGTAGAACTAAGGAGTTTGTTTTTTTCTCTTGTGAAATTATTTCGGTTATTAGTTTGTCCCCCATTTGCATAAACATTCAAATCACTTGGTAAATGTTACGAATTTTCACTTTCCAGCTCAGAAAATATTCCTAGTAAATCTTCAAAGGATCAAGATTCGTGTCCAACGCCGAATGATGGTATTGTTGTTTGTTGAGAATAATCCATTTATCCTTCTAGAATGTGTTGATATTGTCGAACCTCTGTCTACCCAGTCAGCGAAATTTTCAGACGCCTCAACCAAATCAAGCCTTTTGTCGGAAGAAATAGTTGTTGATGCACCGCAGGTTTCCGGTAGAGGCAACTCAGGATCTGATTTAATAATTTCGGATTCTTCTGGGTGAGTTTCCTTTGAAACTTTTCCAGAAAATGCTTTTTGATAATAATCCAGGTATGTTATGCTTACCTTGTAATTGGTCACGGGAAAGTACTTGCGACAAGGCCGTTTTTGTGTATTCACTTGCGTCTCAATACATTATTTGGAGATTCTTTAGACCAGAAGATGGTGCCCAAATGGAATTGTCAAAGGACATTACCGAGAATGAACCAGAAGTCGATCAAGATGCGCCTTCAACAACGGAGAGTGATGAAAGAACTACGGCAGGTAATATAGCAGCGAGAGCTGGTGGCCAGCCTGAGGACAGTGATGGTGTTGCACCAAACGATAGTCCAGTTGCCAACTTCTACCTTCATATTGTTGATTTGATCGAAAAAATTAGTGAGATCACCGGTCACATTGGTAAGTTAGCGTAATTTTGTCACTTTCTTCCACCTTAAAATCTACTGATATTTGTAAAGTTTATAAAGAAATATTCAACTAGGTAAATTATAATTGCAATGGAGATTTGGGACAAGCGAATGCAGTACTGATTGCATTTTAACAAATGAACCATGAACAACTAGAAGCAGAAGCACGGAAATGTTGGAAACGTCTTAATTGGTTTAATTTATCTGGAATTTACTGTTATTCAAATGCTTTGCAGTGATCCAAATTATTAAATTCATCCAAAATACACTCTGCTTGTGAGCTTTTCTGCACTCACCAGCCAAACTTATAATCTTTTCAACATCTTACCGGAGAATCGTTTACGAATAACTCTTGTCAACTAAAATCTAAATTACTACAGGATAATCGGCGCCTTTATGCGAAGCGTATCACAGGTTACCCGAAAGGGCAGAATAAACCGGATTTATCGATAATTAGGGTAATTTGGTGGTTAGAGTTGTGTTTTTGTCCCTCAACTAGTGACTATAACCGTCATTTCGACGCTACATTTTAGATGTTAATCTTCCGCTACATATTTTGAATACTGCCTGATCATACCATTGACTATTTGACCTATTTATAGTGCGGCTAAAACTGCAGTAAACGAAATATGGAGAAACACTGGAAAAAAATTGCAGTTGTGATTTCCCTTTTCCTACAGGTTTGGGCTCATAAGAGAATTTCTAATTTAACCTATATGTTAAACGGTCTGTCTATTTTAGCTGGTGCTTGGGGCGCAGAAATTTTCAAAGGTTATTTTTAATATACTTAAAGTCAACTCGCGATTGTTTGAATTCCTTTTCAAAAAGCTTGGGGATGTAACTACTCGCCGTGTTAAGTTTATGTACCAACTGTTTTGCTTCTGCATAGATTGAGGTTCGTCTATGCAAGCTTTACTTTTGTATGCTGTTCAGTTCAGTAGACGGATTTATGCGTGTTTAGTTGCAGTGAAATGATTTCCCCTGTACCAGTATGCCTATCTTTGTGAGCACCAGTTACACAAAAGTATCTACGCGCCCACTTACGAGCTTTTCATGCCATAAATAGTTGGAACTTTCACACAGGCAGTATAGATATCGAAGGGCAGTAACTGTCTTGAAACCTTGAAAGTACTTCCAATGTCATTGCTCATTCAATCTGGCTCTCTTCCTACAACTCCTAAGTTTTTGTCCGAGATTTGTGAATAATGTGTGTTCTTGTAAGTATTTTGCTCTTGCAAGCTAGCTTTTTTCCAGTTTTACATAACTTCTTTTTTACTTTATTTTTTACTAAATAGCCTCTATGGCTAAACGTGTTCGTTACCAGAGTCTCAGAGAAAAATAAACCGCCACACCTCAAATATTTCACTGTTCTAATTTATCGGCAATTGTCATTCGTCTTTGTGCCAACCGAATTGTTGACAAAAGACCAAAAGCTGTTATTCCACTCAGATCAAGAACACTGTATCCGTTTTTACTGTTTTAACAGCCATTCGTTTTGAGACTAAATATTTTTAAACTGATGAAGGAAATTATGCAAATTTGTGACCCTGGGCTCAGGTAGGAAAATCAGAACGTCACGTATATGTGATGTTGGGATTAAAAGTCCTAGCCAAGCATATGTCTTTGCCGTTGAATACCAGACATGATTTTGCGAAGTTTGCGAATGTTGATCAAAAATTAATTACCAATCATCCTTCGTAAACAAGGATTGAAGTGTTGAAACAGCTGTCTTTAGTGAGTAATCGCTATTTTTATGCAAGTGCTCTCGTCGAGTTTCTTTGAAGCGCATATTAATGCCCTGTGTTAAGACAGGTTTCACCGGAATTCTTCATTGCCACTGTTTGCTTATTAGATCCCCACTTAAGCGTTAACCATAATTGGTAACGGCTTCATACAGTTTGTCTTAACTGCTATTCAGCTTGCCTACAGGCGTCCCTCAAAGTCAGCAGTAGGATTCCCTCCATCTTTGGCAATTAGTTTTTCTCAATTACTCAAATTGACTTCGGCATATGCATTACTCTCTATGGTGTATGTGTCAAGTAGCAGTAACGGAGCGTTTGCTCTTTCTGGAATTATTGTTAAAGACATCTTTAGTTGGTTGGTTTGGTTGCTAATTTAAATTGTTTTTTGTTGGATCAACCCGTGTAGCATATAAATCAGCCAGTTGTTTGCTTTTCTGATTGGTAAAATCACTGGGAACTAATTGCATGGTAATACAAAATTTTTTACTCTTTTTAGATAACACTTCAAAGCTCATTGCCTTATGTGTTGTCATCGCTGCAGGTAGGTAGCATACTTTTGAAGTACTAATCATTATTTCTATTTAGTCTTGATCCCAGCTACAACGATTTGCTTGGTGAGTTGGTTTTTACCAAATATCTTCAAGATTTCTCCCGCAAGATATATGAAAACAGATTATCTATTATGGCGGAGATTATTTAGTTGTTTGCTCTCATGCTTCACATTTAGTAGAAGTTACATTTTGCGTGTGGCCATTCAAGCAAAGCGAATAAATAAGGGATTTTGGATGTCATAATACAAGTATTTGTTTTACTGGTTTTCGACCTGCATGAACTCAAGTGACTTCCTTTGCTTTGAAAATATTTCAAAACTCAAGAACAAATTTCAACTCCAGTGGTCTTTTAAGATCTACCAAGAGTTTCGAATGGAAACATTTTCACCGGCTATTATCAGTTTTCATCATCAAATAAGGCGCATTAATTTATGTAGGAATTGTTGTAAATAAAAGTTAATTGACCGTCTTTGTTTCAAAAAACGATGAATTTCAATTTCACAATCATATTACGTGATTTCAAGGAAAGGACTATTATTAGGCCCTGCGGAACAAAAGGGGACTACATCCGATCACTTTCATCTTTAACGTGAACAGTTGTTTAAATATCAGTGATATGCGAAGGTGCGTAAATGTCAAGACAACATTATGCGCTTGTCTACGTATTTTGCAATATTTCGGGCTTTCATTCCCTTGCGTCGAAAAGGAGAGTGGCTTCATGTTATACAGGCAAAATTGGAGTCTTATCCCTACCGGATCTTTTAAGTACTTTTCCCGTAGTATTAACATGCTTCATATATTCCATTTCCACACCTCCTTTTTTAATAATTATTTATTGTCGCGAATGACTTCCGGCACTAACGCTTTCTTGTGACTGGGATTTGTGACCCTTTTTAGTTGGGGTACAAATCGCCATCCAGTGTTTTACTTGAACTGCCTCCATATGCTAGTGCCTTATTTAGCTGAATCTAAAAACCACTGAGGAACATCCAAATGCAAGGTACAGAATCTCAATCTTACGGTTTCTAAAACCAGTATTCTGGTGTAGTTTGATGTTTGGATGATACACGAAGAATTCTTCACTATTTTAAGAGACTTAAATTGTTTCGATGCCATGCAAGTGTGGCTAGCCCGGTCCCAACAAGTAATCGCGATTCCCTGAATGAGGCAAAATGGTTAACTAACCATCTGGATTGTCTCTCACATTCAGTGAAAAGTAATTCATGTATTTAAATCGTTTTCTTATTTTTCCATGCATCCAGTTAATTATTTCATCATTTTATTCAAGTTCAACAAAATTTTCCACGCAGTTCGGGAATGTTTTTCTCGTTTCCACTTTTTCCGTTGTTTGACATTCTTATTCGGTCGTTAAATAAATTTCGGTGTATATGGACACAAAAAATCCTCGCTTACCGATTTTAACAACACTCGTAATATCGGGCATTGTTATTCTGCCATTCACTCTTCAATCCACCGTTTCCACTCTTAGGGAAACGCTTCACCCGTACCTTACCAGCGCTCTATATTTAGTAGCGCACGAATTCCCCAACAGCCGCTACTTTCTTAGTGGCTACTTTTCCAACCTTCCAGTCAGGGCAAGAGGCGTTGTCGATCAATGGTTGCATAGGCACGAATACAAGTACTGTCCCAACGCCTCAATTATGCAACTTTTGTCACTAAACTTTTCCTCTTTTTCAACCTCTTACATCCGGTTTACCCTCGCATAGCTCATACTAATAATTTTACTAAAAAATTGTTTAATTTAATCAAACTTTGCCTGCTTCTTTAGCTCAGCGTATTATGCCGGACCCACTCTTTCATGGCATCGGGTTAACGCTTTCTCTGATGGTTCTATATCCATCCTGCCTTTCAGTTTGCGATTTCAAAACAAGGATATTATATCTATTAGGCAGAGGGGTCGGTATCTGTTTTAGCCTTCCAACTTCTTGTAAAATTTTGTTTCAAGTATACATTTTGTCAGTGTGATATATTCACCAAAAATGTGGAATAAGAACTAAGTGTGCAGGATTCGTTGACCATGCTTTCATCAGGTGGCTCTTCAACTTTTACTCAATCTACTCAACTTTTCATGCGAGCGTATAGTTCCCTTCAGCAGTTGAGCTTGCCTTGCTATTGTATTCGATTCTCTATTTCCTATCGTTAACATGCTACCACATTGCAGTTTATTTTTCGTGCAAGAAGAGACAGTTTACCTTTTATGTGTTGCAGATTACTTGAGGAAAGTGGTTAAAATCAGTGTGATCAATCTATACTACAATTCATTTCATATATCTATTTGCTTGAGTAAATTCTGTTTATCCAAGCTGAAACGAAGTGTTTTTTACCAGGACCCATTCTATTACTGTTATTTAGACTTGAAATCTTGGATTAGTATCATCTATTATCGCACTAGGCAGATTTTCTATTTATTATGGGAAGATTAAGTACTGCAACGCATTTGGCGCGTTTTTTGCCATTTCGGCTGTTTTTTACTCACATATTGATGCGATGTGATACTTTGCTCATTTCTTTGAACTCAGGACTTCATATACACAGTTTAATGCTAAACTTTAACCTGTATCGTTTTTTGACTTCTGTAATGCCGTGGTCGCGTGTAAAATTGACAGTGAATGGCATTTACCAAAGGTGGCTAAAACTGGTTTAGCGAAAATAGGGAGGTAGATTTTGTAATAAAGGTTAAACCTTAATCAAATCACCGGATCGACAAGTCACGGAAGGCCTAAATGCAAATGAAAATCCTGCGATGGTGCCATGTATGTGACTTTGGAGTCAGAAAATTGTGGTTTTTTTCTGTATGAATGACTAGCTGTGAATCGGTCCGACTGATATGCGTTGTGCTAAATAGGTGTGTAATGGTTCTTGGTGTTATTTTTAAAAGGGAAATCAAATTGATGAGTATTTTTCTGTCTTTGAATATCTTTATTTTTTGGGCTTTCAAGCTCACTAAAGTGCATGATGAGTTACCATTTGCACGAGCAAAATGATATCAGTACAGTTTCTCACCGTTAATGGGTCATGATTCGACCCAGGAAGCCATGAGGATAGTTTTACGGGTGTCAAGGTCTTGTCTTATTCGGGTATGGCACATTGACTGCTGATTTCGAACAACTGCTCACACTTTTGGTTCATAGTGTTTAAAGCGCGCTCAGTATTTTTAAACTGCTCCATTAATTACAAAAGCAACGACTATTTGGTGTTTCAGGTAGCATTGGGTCGCACAATCGTAAAATGGTACTATTTAGATAGAGAACTCGATGTTTTTATCATCATCCCGTTCATTCGCTAGACCCGCGCTATTATGGGCATTTGTCTTGTAAAATATGTCTATAAAATAAAATTAAACAGTGTATCCATAAAATTGAAGGTTATCTGGGCATAAATGGTGATAGTTGCGTAGCTTTCGATGGGGAAAATAAGCCTGGTTTGACCATAGACATCTTAACGCGATCGGATCCACTGAAGCTCACGTACGCAAATAAAACGTGTCTATGTTTTAATGGTATTAAGAATAAATTTATCGATTTTACAGTATTTTCAACAAAAACAGTCGATTGTTTTTTATTTTCTTGGTGTGTTAATTTATTCACCAGTATGGATTTTACACTTGAAACGCTTTGCTCTGATGAAAATGCTTATCCCACATTATCACTTCTGCTATGGAAATGATTTTGGTTCGAATTTTCAAATTTAGGATGATGCGTTCTTAAAACAGAGTACATTATATGCCGGCACCCAACTATGCATCCTTCCTTAGGTGTTAATTTCAGGGACTTTTCATTACTTAGGACAGTTTATGCGTTTGGGTTGCTTTTTTTGGTAGTCACTCTTAAGTGATCTGTCATTTTTTATGTCGGAATTGCCGATTGCTCGTTACTTTTTTTATGTCAATCAGAATTCATTTGTAACAGTCTTTGACCCCAGTGGCGTTTCGCAGTTCTTAAGTTTATGCATTTCTTTTTTCATAGTTACCTACTTCAAAATCATCAGCAAAATCAGGTGCGCAATATTTTTATAGTACTACCCTACTCTAGACTAGTCCATTATAACAAATTAGATTCTTGACAGACTTCGCTCCCCCACCCGCGGTCGACCTCGATGGATCCTCTGAACTGATGAAGTGCAGGTCAGTGCTCAATTGGCGGCAGGAGAAAGTCGAGCAAATAGAAACCAGTGAGTCAAGTTACGAAACTCTTCCTTCGTCAGTATTGCTTAAGTTCATTCTAATTTCTTGATAATTGTTTTACTGGCAGTCCGCTTTATTTTTAACGAAAATAGTTTCAGTGTTTTTTTGTATTTATTATCATCGATTCTGCGTACTTTGTTTTATTTTTAAAGGAAATAGGAGGCTTCCTTTTCTATATACTGCTAATAAACACGTGATACAGCTTTGATCTCTTTGCTCACTAACTTTTTACTCCTCATCATTTAAGAACTGGAAAAGCTCAAGTCTTCTTTAAGGGAATTACAAAATTCATACAATGAATGTGGGCGATCGCTTTCAGAGCATCAGGAAAAATATGCAAAATGTGGAGCTTGTATGTTTGAATTTTTTTGTTATACGCTTGTTGATTTCATTCCTGTCTCATATAAGCTGAACCCAATGCAACTTCCCTTCAGCGCTGAAAGAAACTAAGAAACAATTGAAGAGTCGGGATGACCTCTATGAGAGCTGTCGAAGCAAGCTCCTTGAGCTGCAGGAGAAGATCATAGACCGTCAACAGGGTCTGTTTCACCGCCTGTTTTTATGCTCTGCTTTGGAATGTGAGATCGACCAATAAGTAGGGAGGAGTCATAAATTGCTGACACCTTTGCCAGAATTCCGGCATCCATGATTCAATGTTGACTAATTAACTTTTCAGATTTAGTGAAGAACTGTTTTCGGCATAAGGAAAGTAAGCGTCCGATTTTAGCGTTTTTCATAAACTTGATAATTATTGCTAAGCCATTTCGACTTTACTGGTCACCAATTAATTGATGTAATAGGAGGAAACGAGGCGTACTTCTGTAGTAGCTGAATTCATTTGATACGTTAATTTTCGTTAATCACACTCTTGGCCGATGCAGCCGTTATCAATACTGCGTCGGAGATTGTCAATTCCTTGTTATTTTTTCGCCTTTTTTTGTTTTTCCGATGTACGCGAAATTTGAACTTCAGTAGTTTTGGAATGCTTTGTCATTGCTAAAATTGTCGGCCTTTGCTTAAGCATTCAAGTGGACTAAAATTTCAGTGCTACATACCACCATCGTGGTACGTTAATTTCGGAAGAAAAAGACGACATGTTCTAAATGAACCACTCTTGACACTTTTATAGCATGTCAAAGTTTTTCGATTTTTTTCTGAAACATGGGATGTAAGCTACCTGTTTTTTTTCAAAGGAGCCATCATGAGGTTATGTCCAACATGACAGTGCACTTATTAGTAAAGGGGTCAGGCAACCGCAAAGGAACGTTTTAAGGACTGAAAAAGTAAATTGACAGGTGATTAATTTGAGGATGGTGCAACAAATTCATTGCGAATCAGGCTATTTATAGGTCTCTCTCCTATTTGACGGACTATTTTGATCCTCCCAAGTGTTTCCGTGGTAGTGCGCTTGATTCATTGTTGGGTTTTGTTTGTTAGTGATTGCGGTGGTGACGCTTCACAATTTATTAATATTGTACTTAGAAATATGCAAGACTGTTTCCCACTGACTTTGACTGGGTTTCAAGTTGGATGCAGTTCGAATTCAGTAGACGATGATAAGCTCGTTTCAAAGCCTCAGATGAATACGATTGAGTGATTTCTGAGTCTTGATTTTGTAATACTGTCAAATGAGATGAATTTACCTTCAATATGCAAAAATTTGCTAGCAGTTCTACTTTACACGTGACTTATATACACAGTTGACAGATTTGTGTGTATCATCAAAGGCGGCACTTGCCCCCATTGTTTACTGTCATGTCATCTGGAAAGATAGGATCCTAATCACTTTTCTCAATACTCCTTCTCTGCAACAGTAACAGCGTTGAAAGTAGAAAATTTGTGGAACTCTCTCTAAACCATGGCTAAAAGATGTTTCAAATTTTCACCTTATGTAACATCCTTAGCTGTAAATGACTCTCTTGTTTTCTGCTGTTCAATGCTTTGGAGTTTGTCGACAATGCTGGATTTATTCACTTGTTTATTTTACAGAAGAGTCTTCAGACTGTCGACCATTTTACCAGAAGGCATTTGACAAAATTTTTGGTCATCACACGGGCCACAAATTTCGTGAACGTCGTAGCAAGTGGAAAAATTAAAGTCGGTTACGTGGCCTCCATCTTCCCTTTTGCTTTGATTACATACGCCCATAAGTAACGGACATTTTCTCTACTATAACTGGTTTTCATTTTTGGTGGCTTAACTCCCAGTAACCACCACCAGACTTTCTTACACCTCTGCCATTTCATGTCTTTGTTTTTTAAATCATTTTTATCCTTTTGAAATATACATTTCCATGGTCAGATGTTCACACTCATGAGATGTTTCAACGAATCTAAGCTTTCGAATATTCTCACATCGAGTTTCCTCCATCGCTATGTAAGTGTCATTTGTACCATCCCCTTGATCCATAAGTAGTTGGTATTTCCTAAATGGCGTCTCAGTCGTAGTAGAGGGAAAAAGTCCCCGAAAGCTTATTACAAACAAAGTGCAACAATATGTGGGATCATCCAGGCGAACTGTGCAACGAATGGCCACGCCCTTTCAGTGAATTAGCAATTTTGCACGAGTCTTTTTCGTAACTAAGGCGTGTAGATCCCGAATACTCTTGTAGATCGCAGAAGAACCACAGGGTCAGATCATTCATATTAGCTCAACTGCAGCCAACCATTGTTGCATTTTTCACCCAACTTAATGCAATACTTCGGCTATTCGTTTAACCCTCGGTTTTGGTAACTAGACCCTCGGAGCTCTGCTGCTAAAAATCTACCGGGCGGCCTGCTCTCCGTACCATGCCAATCGCCTCCCAGCCCTTCTGTACATCGATAGTACATATTCTGTCCTAGTGTTATGTCCTCCTTCGTCTCAGGAAAGTCCCGTGGCGCTACGATTAATTCGGTAAAGTATCATGAGAAAGCGGCATAATTTCCATGAAGATCCCCTTAAGCATGATATCGACTACGAACAAACGTGATGGCTTAACGTCTGGTTTATCTGTGCGGAACATCCCGACTCCGTAGACTGTAGCTGCTCGTCGACCACAGTGAGCTCTCTGAAGTTTGCAATTCAACAATAGTTTAATGATACGTAGCATCCCGCACCTTCGCCAAGGAAGTAATAAGCCAAGGTACTATGGAGGAACATACTACCAGCTTACAGAAGGGACACAAAGCAGCTGGCGCGGATCGACTACCATATTGCACCGGGAAAGTCGTCCACAGAGCCCTGAGCACCCGCACACTTAAACACAGCTACCTAAAATAGCAAGCGACTGCAATTGGTCCGAAGAATATGCGAGTTGAAACACATTTTCCAGTCATTAAAAATGAGGCCAAGTTTTCCTACTTACGGTGTCAAATCCTTTAAAATGTCGAGACCTAAGGCGAAGTGATATGCAAGTCTGAAGATCCGACATCTTTTAGATGCTTAAATTATTTCTTCCGTTTTATGCTAGATGGATGAGCATAAGTCAGTAGATAAATACTTAAACTGCATGCCAGACAAAACTTGGGCTGCTTTAGGAGCCTGGATATCCTATTTGTTTGCCAAAAGTTATTTGGTTGTTTTACCGTCATACGTCATGTTAAATAATTTGTTAACTAAGATTCGAATGTGAACCGAATTTGACAGAAACTTATTTCGCTGCTGACTTTACCATTCACAATCAAATGGTTGTATTTAAAGAGTGAAAATAACCTGTTTAAATAAATGATAACGATGTTGTTAAAATCTGTGTTTCAATTGGTTGGTTATGCAATGAGGCACTGGCGGGTCGTGTTCACCGTTTAAGGGTTGGTATCAGGGACTGTCGATGGATCCCCGTATTCCAGTAAACCAACAAAACACGCCTTCTATATTAAATAATCCGCAATCAAACTATATGCAGCCTCAGATGAATAAATTTGGAACTAATGGTCATGCTCCTTACATGCAGCAGCCTATGCGACCTCCAAATTTTCAGTCTCCCCCTCGAATGGGACGAAACGTAGCAACTGTTGGTCCATTGCCAGGAAAAATGCATCATATAGTGAGTCCTATTTTTAATGGTTTATTTGTTAGGAGGGAATGGGTGAATATTCGACCGAGAGTGTAATGCCGATCCACAATCAGGTCATGGGACCCAATATAAACGCCCCTGGAGATCCACTTTCCGGCAGCTACCAGCGTGGACCCCCCATGTATCAACACCCAACAACGTCTGTGATGTTACCCGGTCCCAACTTGCGTGCACCTCATATACCTCAACAGCAGTCTGTATACAATCAGATGCCTGGCCAAATGCCTGTTGACATGCTGCAACAGCAGAGTAAGCTCATTGCGAATATTATTTTCGACTTCTATGCTTTTGGTGTCATCAAGTGTGTGTTTTGTTTTTTGTAGTTGGAATCGGTAGTTCCATTATATTTCTGTGATTGTTATTTATTGATTTTAATCTTTATGTTAGTCCATTAACTGGGTGTGCTGCGTGAACTTTTAGTGAAAAAAATCTTTTGATACATTAAAGCCAACTTTTGGAAACATTCTGCCATTGCATCATCCGTTACCTCTTGAACACCTCTGAAACGATGGAGAATCAGTTGGGTTTTCCCTTTCTGTTTCACTCAGGGTTTCAAGCGCCAATGCAACCACCAACGGCTTCGCGTTTTCCCATCGTATCGCCGTCCGGGCAACATACGGCAGAGGGCGGGATGATGGCCCCCGTGCCGACGCCGGACGCCACTGCAATGCCACCAGTGGGCCATTCGTCCCCTTATGATGGTGGATTCGGTGCTAAACCTGTTTCCGGGTCCGCTGGAGTTCCAAGAACCTTACCTCCTCCAATGACATCACAACAGCCCTTTGCTCCCCAGCAGCCACCCATCTCCTCGCCTATGCCCATGTCCCAGCATCAACAGCCCCAACCAAATCCTGTAATACCAATGAGAAGCATGGAAGGTAAGCTGAATTTCCTATGTGTCCCGTACTGGATTAGACCCTCAGAAGTTTTGTTCGTTCAGTTCTCTGCGTTGTTTTTCATTGCATATATTTCCATAAAATAGACTCATCTACTACGACAATTTGGACCAGGCAAATTATTTTATATTTTACCAATCTTTTGATTGATGTTTACTTAGTGTGCTCCGTTTTATTGTCCTTTATTTCCCTCTACTTAAGACCCATTGGTTTTTGCTCCGATTTATGGAGGAGTTGATTATTTCTCTTCTGTTTATCGAGTTATTTACTAGACCATTCTGGCAATTAGCCATTGATAGAGCGCTAATTTATCTATTTTGTTTTATAAAATGACAGTCATCCCAATAAGCCTCCATATTGAATATCATGCCAAATTTTTTTGCCTGTGTTCGTTAATTTATTGGAGGTTATCGAGTGGTTTAATGTCGTACACAGTATTGAATTAGCTACCTTTTAGCACCTATGACCGATACCTTTGGAAAATCTTTATCATTCAATGCTGCCAGACAATTTCGTTAGTTTTTTTTCAAATTAATACCAGCTCTTCGACATACCCCATTGAGTGCACAACGTACAGGGGATAACCGACCATGTAGCCTTGGTGCTGATCTTGTGGCAGAAATTTGGATGTTCAATATGAGCTTGACTCTTAAATAGTGTCATATTTTTTTCCCAACTCAATTTTTTTTCTCTAAGCTAACCATACATTCGTGCAATTATCTACTTATTTTTTGGTACTTCAGTGTTGGTAATTATCCTTGTTGTGCGCTTCTGCTTTTGCTTATTTTCAAATCCGTAAACATGTTTTGCGATTATTCATCAGTCGGGCGGTTGTCTTTTTGAAGCTAGGCACATTACAAGGTTGGCTTCTAAATACCCTATTTCTCCTACCGGGAATCATGTATTTCGAAGCGATTAGTTATAAACTGCAGTGCGACGGCCAAGCCTCTTCTGCTTCGCTCATTTAAATACTGCTACGAATCGGTTGCTTTGGGTCTTTCAGTCACCGACCCTGCACGACAATCAACTCGTCAGCCACCAATGGGGTTGCAACAACATCAGCAAGTACCGCTATCGCTTCCCCCTCCTGCCCAACAGCCTGTAGGCACAATTCCCCCTATGCCCCCATCCGGTTCCGCACCCCCCTTTCCTATGCCCGCGCAGGGCACAGTGTGCCTCCTTTGTTCTCGCGATCTCACCGAGCCGCCCGCTCCGCCCTCCTCAATGTCTGGAAAGGTGCTGTCTTGTAATTACCCGCCGGTGCAATGCGAGGCCGGGTGTCGAGGCTGGTTCCATCTCCACTGCTCTGGCCTCACCCCCGAGGCTTTCTACCTCCTCAAGGCGGAGGGACCTTTGGTCGAGTGGCTCTGCACAACCTGTGCCACTCAGGCCTACCCCAATATACCCTACATTCGTTTGAGACATTGAACATCTCCAATTATCATTGCACACATTAATGGGTACTATATTGCATTTACTAGTATTTTAGCAGTGTTAGTTTTTTTGTAAAATAAATTATCCTATCTTAAATAGACACTTTTCAGAATGTTTGTGTGTTGTGTTTGTTTTTTCTCCACTTGATCCTGCGTCCAATATTCCTGATCCTTTTTAGGACCTTTGCACTTCTTATGATCACTTTTTTAAAAGGCTATTATCGGGTTTGTGGTTGTTCGTAGTGATGGCAAAGTAATTATTCTTGGTAATCATCTCGTCGGACTTCCGTTGTCCTGAACTTGTTTAAATTGCCTTCAAAACTCCTTAACTGTCAACATGGTCGTTTTCACATTGTTCTGCATTGTCCTTACGTCATCCGATGTCTGAAATTACTGAGAAGAGGAGGTCTATATCATCACCCTTGTGAGGCTCATAGCATCCGTGATTTATTCCGATTTTAGATGCCACTTACAACTTCCGTAGTTCTACTGACAAGATTGGCGTTGGTACTGCTCTTGCATTCCTCCAGTTATCGAAATCTAGAAGTATGAAGCTGCTTTATTTAGCAAATCCCTGCTTAGGTATCCCTGTGCCGTGGCAACAGAGTACCATTTTGAATCGGTTGTGTCTTGTCTACGCGCCCATTGTGCATATTGTTCAATTTAGTTTCATTTCATTCACCTAGTCTCCTTCGTCATTGGTTAAGCCTGAGCCAATCATAGCCTGCCCTTCATCGCGGCTGCTCTGTGTATAAGAGGGATGCTCTTTCATCCGTTTCATATTCGTCTTCTGATGGTACGTGTATCAATGAGCTATTCAATTTCCAAAATATATATATATAATTCCTCTGATGTGGCATCTTTTGGGAGGCATTGGTGCACAATGTTTCCTCAACTAGCTGTTGCCTAAATTTGATGGTTTTTCTTGGGCCTCTACATATAAATCTTTTGACCCACCCCCCATTTTCAGCTCGTTAGCTTTGTCGTATAGACGATGCTTATTTACTCATGCTTCCCTGCTTTAATATACCCATCTTTTTAAAAGTGAAGGTTAAACTGTCTTCGTATTTTTCTCTACCAAAAGGTTAGCAGTCGTGATGTAATAAAATTTGTATACTTATGACAAAGCAGTTTTTTGTCCGTAAGTTAGATTTTGCCATGTGTTTTCCGACACAGATTATTGTTTCGCCCGTCTCGCTTTCGTCGTAGCCAGATTGATCGGCTTCTTGAATTTTTCTCTTTTGGAATTCATGCTCTTCTTTGATCATCACCTCAGGTTCTTAAAGTGAAATTCAGCTCGTATTGGTAAACACGTTTGATTCGAGAGATTAGCGTAAACTTCAGCCAGTATGTAATGGTTCCAAGCCTATGCTCTCTGACACGTTAATTTCCTCATTTAGTTGCTCCTTGGTTCTTTAGTCCATTGTTTACGAATCATCCCTAAAGATGTGCTACTTTTGTTGTCCTCACATTCATGTTTATTGTAAAGTATGTATTAGTACTTTACCATCGTACCAATTTTCTCATTACCATCGTGACAAATTCTGTATTTGCGCAATGTATGAGGTTTACCGAATTCTCCGATGTTGTTTAAAGTGCTCTTATACTGCGATCGTGCAAGCACCTTACCAAACTTGGCAGCAGCTGCTCTTTGACGCATATAAATATCTGTGCTTACGGCAAGTACCGATTCATCTGACACCTATTAGCACTGCGTAATCTTTCCCAAGTTTATTCATACTTATTAAGTGCATTTTCTTTTCATGGTGGCGTAGTTTTCCAACCCATTCAAGATGTATCAATTCTGAAGATATCGCTGCTCCCGAATATTGTAAGTGAATTCTTGTTTGTCCCCTTATACCAAGAAAATTTAGCCTTATCCTTATTTTCTTTCTGTTTCTTGCTCTATGCGAAAGCCAGAAGGTTTGTAGTTTTGTAGAACATAAACCGCATTTGTTCTTTCTCTAAATTCCTATCACACTTCCCTTCCTATGCGTATGTAGTTTTCTTTTTTGAAGCAGATTTTGCAGTCACTCGATTTATCAATCTTTTTAATAACTTTTGGGGTAAGCCGTACATGCGAAGTGTAGTTTCTGGTGGCCTAAAGTACGACTTAAGTAATTTACAAATAAACTAATGCTTCACCGTGGTTGAATTTCTTCAGTTTGAACATCATTACTTGTCTGCAATTATTCGGTTTTGAGACGTGGTAATTTACATTTCGAATGCTGAAATTCGTTTTTGTGGGATACTAGGTGGGTGTGTACTGGTATCAAGGGCGCCTGAGAAGCGCCAGGCTTTTCCTTCTTATTGTGATTTGTTAAAATTTACTCCTTTATGGTTCAATGATTTCACATCCCAGTTTATTGTATTTAACTTTTCGTGGAATACAAGGACGTAAAGGTGTCTGTCGAGTATTTCCGATTCCATCGTAGCAACAGCCGTACCCATCATTTATCAGTACGTTTTGAATGAATGGCTGCAAGTTTTCCTGTTGGTCTATCGTATCTTTCTAATTTGTGTTTCACGACGTAAATTATTGGCTTTTACATTCATTTCGAACTGCTATGAAAGCTAAAATGTACGTGTTTCTAAAAATCACTTGCCTAGTTTGTACGTGTACACTTCCGTTTAGCTACATCAACGTGACATCACGATGAATAACCACATATATGGTCTACTGTTTGTTTGTTTTCACCCTTATTCATGTGAATTGTGTAGTTTGCGGCCTCTTGGTGGGAGTATAATTAGTGATCTTGTCCAAGAATAAGCTCATTTCCCGTGATTCAAAGAGATAAGCTTATTCAAAAAGATTACTTAATTGACCTTTTGACCTCGTTTCAAGCGTGTGGGCTATCAAACTCATAAATTTCTACCCCTTTGTCGGTGTCCTGAATACACTTCTTAAGTGGGTTTAAACTCTTTTCATTTGCAACTCTTACAAGTCGATTGTTGGATTTTGTTCTCATTAGGATAACCCTTTTCCCTATAGAACTTAATGGCTTCTGTTAAATCCCTTTTTCAGGGCCGGCACGACTACTGGCTGCTTGCGTGGACGTTACTCCTGTCGCTTTGCAGCGAGCGGTGTGTTACGGGGGATCTGGCGATCTACACCTACTCCGGTAATTCCACAGGTAGCCCCGACGCTGTCAGCGATGGGCATCGGCTGACCTACGTAAAGTTGGGGGTTGCCGTAGGCATGTTCAGCATCACCGCAGCAGCCTGCGCCTTGCCCCTCCTTGTGATGATGTGTATCGCGCGGCGGATGCACTCGCGCACTTCTTCCGTCACCATCAGCTCCAACGGTCCCCACTCTGGTGACACCGTTGCCAACCGTGCCTCGCGAGTGCGCTCCTCCTTTCTTATCCGTTAGTTTTTGCGGGTGTTCGGTCTGATTATTAGATTCACTATTAAGCCGTTTCGCTTTAACTGTGTTCTGATGTGCCTCACCTGTCGCCGAAGACCTTGTAAGGCTTTCCTTTCCAGAAGTGGGTCTATTATTAACGGACATAAAGGTTTGATGACTATTAGCGTGAACAATATGAGCTGGATTCTATTTCATCGACGTAGTACCCAAATTGCGGGCTACTGGTAGGGTTGACATGTTTAGGCTTCCATTTAAATATGATTATATTGTAGTTAAAAGTTATTAAAGTGTTACTTCAAAGATCCAAAGCATTGGTGTGTTAAATGGGGATGCCAACAACACGATTGGCCTGACATCTGGTAGCTAAAACTATCAAGTGAAAGCACTTATACTGAAAAAAATCTTATAGGTTTTTGACAAAGTGAGGGTATTATATTCCTAGGGTTATCAATTTTTTTCAGGCCTTACAATAGACGCCATCATTTCGGGCCGTGAATTCGAACAGTGACTAGTAATTACGTCAAAATACTGTTAGTCTTGGAGGCGTTCGTTTCCACCTGGGCTTTTATCTTATTCCTGCTCATCTTGGCTTAATCTCTGACTTTTCGCGTAGCTTGTGTTAAGATAAAATTCACAAAAGTGGAACCAAACCATCGATCAAAGTATTGTATGTTTATTAGCCGCACCTCTACGGTCACACAGATGACATTTTTTGTCTCTCTTTAGTTCACATCTAAAAACACTGACATAATTAGTACTGATGCACATGTGGAAAAGTCACGGACAGGTGGATTCAAGCACTGGAAACATCACTAGTCAAAATTGGCATCTGCGGAAAGCGTACAATGTCGATTTGCAATGAAACAAAACTCCTGAAACAATAATTCCTATTCTTTATAACTACCTCAAGTTTTGAAGGTAAGTAGTAGTCATTTCAGGTACCGCTATTTTCAATAACAGATGAACGGTCGAGAGGCATCATCGCCCACCTTCCTGCTGGATCCGCAAAGCACTGAGTCGGAGGAGTTGCTGCTGACTCGTAGCCCCGACTCCCAGGCGCCGGAGCCGCCACAGACGTCCAATCTCGGTGCTCCTTTCTACGAAGTGGAGCCCCAGGAGGACAATCCTATCTTGCGCGAAGACCACCGTCTCCACTGGGGCGATGGCGCTATGGAGCACGGCGCAGCGGACGATGGTGTGGTCGAGGTCTTTAACAGCTCCGCGATAGCTAACGGAGGGATTCCGCCTTCGATGGCCATTAATAGAACTCGTCGGCGCAGCTCTTACAAGCGAATGTGTGTAATTCGCAAGTGGGGAAGTCGTATCAACTGCTTTGCTGCGGGCATCTTCCTCTCCACTGGTACGCCCACTTCTCGTGTAGTTTTGGTACAGCTACTGTTTTTTTATTGGTTCATCCAGATTAATTTTTTTTTGAATTTGTTTCCTCAAGCATCAAGGCAGTTATTCGGTAGTCTTAATTGTCATTGAATTGTTTCGTGCTTGCATAATTTTTTGTGGTGCAACACCTTTTAATTTCGCATGGAATTTGACACCTCATTATTGTGTAACGGGTGTGCCTTAGAATTGGAATCGTTAGTCGGCGATTCCTTCTCGAATCTTTTTTATTTCAATTAATGACTTTCGTAAACTTCCTAGGCCTTGTCATATGTTGTTATCTATTAAATAAAACGACTTACTATATATTGTCAAATGGTTACCATCAAACGCCTTTTTCCAATGTGTTGGCTTCGGATTTGAAGGGTTAAAGATTTTATTGTTAACGCATAAAGTGTCACCACGACCTCGCGGTCTGTGATCTGATTCTTTTATGATGTTTTTCACCCCACCTTATAGCTCACTTATGCCTCTGACGACAGTACTGCGGTGCGAGTTTATTCTTAATGAACAGGCGCACTTGCCACTGATCCAAATATCACGTCTGCCGCCGTTGTTAGTTTCCCTACTTTGTATGGGGTTTTTTACATTTTTCACATAGCTGTTTGTATACTGTTTCTCCACCTTCTTGGTTCCATTTATTCTGAACCCTTTGGAAACATACGTCACACTAGTGCCTCACTAGAAGCTAGTCAGTTAGTTTATGGGCCATGCACCTGTTTTTTAGCTGCTCCCATACACTTCTATTTGTGGACTTGTTTAGGTGGTGGGCATGATTTACCGAGTGGGATTCGTCCTGCACTTCGGCGTAGTTTCTTTTTTCTCGGGTGCGATAGCTAACGTCAAATAAGACCGTTTTTACCGTTGAGCCACTTCATCTTGAGCTTCTTTAGCCTTTCTTCTTACCCTTTTCTAATTATTGCTACTGCTGCCTAAAAATCCGCATTATGTAATGAGTGCTTTTCGGAGTGAATGACGTTTTGTTAATTAGCTATCTCACCGATCTACTGGTGTTCAACTCCTTTAAAGTTCCATCAGTTTCTAGACGCACTTTACCCTGTATGAACCTATCACTGATCTTGCGTTATAAATGGGCAATAAATAGGAAAGTTGAGTTATCACTTCGCATTTTGTCATCAGAATAACAGGAGAAAATAGACTGCCATTGCCTTAGGTATCATCGCTGATTTACTCTTCGCTTAACCAGATCCAAACGTGTCTTATCGCACCGATCACTTTCATCATTTTTTTCGTACATTGACGTCAGTTCATTCACGTGAATGAAGAATGACAGAGGGGTTGGCGTCTACGAAATAAGATTTTTTCAGTCCGTATTGTTTAGCCAATTTTCTGACAGAAAGGGCGCTTGGTTAGTTTTAACAAGGGATATCCTATTTTACACTAGATTAAATGTTACCGTGTCCAACACCATTTTGTGAGCAAGCTTTTCCTTCCTAAAAAGGAAAAAGCAAAAGCGGTCAAGCGATTTTGAAATAAGCAGAAATTAAGTGTCAAGGTTGTAGATAATCTTATCATCTTACCATTTTTTATAAATCAACTTAAATGATTATCTTGTCTTGCTCATCGTTTCTGAAAGTGGTTGTCTCAAACTGCACCGCTGTTGACTGTGGGCAGGTGGCAGATCGCCTTAAACCTTAGCAACGAATCGTGCCTTTTTGTTACTATTGTTATCGATAGTTTTTGACTTTTGTGACTTTTAAAAATCTGCAGTTTGTTTGGGCAAGAAAAGTACTGAAAATTCCGTTTTTGAAATGGAATGACTGTTAAAGTGACACGGAGAGTATTTTGTTTTCCGTAGACAAAAAAGTAAGCGCGTCGGTGAATCATGCTTCAAATGATGGACAGTGTTGTTCATGTCAAATATTCGGCAGTGGCCGATGTTTCTTCTGTAGCAGTAAGCGGCATTAGGGACCTTCTATGCATTTACTTGACTATATGAGTCTTTAACTCATGATTTCTTGATTCTTTACGAATTTTGTGCACCTTGAAACCATTGCATTTTGAAGAGGTTGGGCTATAAAATTCCTAGGTGCATGGTATCAAGGACGCAAAGGAGAATTGTACAAACTACGAGTAAAAGTTTGTCTTTTGTATTGCATAATCATGGTTTTATTGCTTTCGGCTGATTTGAGCTCTATTTGCTACACTAGTTAAGGGAAAGTGCTATTTGTACCGTCTAACACACCCGTGATTTAATTTTTTTCTTCACATCCATAGTCCTTCCACTTTGTGAGCCCCATTCTGGACTGCGTCCTGTGAGGGTTACACGTAACCCACATTAGGTAATGCTCCAAACTAAGTAAATGCAAAGGAACAACTTCGAGTGCTTTATCTTATCTATTAATTTTCTATGGTCAAGCTTCATGCTAGGAGGTGGAGCAGGATGAGATTGCGATTGCTTTCCTCTGACAGCGTTAAAGCGTTTCTTCACTTTAAAATCAACCTGATGTAGGTATGGTTAATGGCATTATGGCATTAAACTGCGGAAGGGCATAAACATTTACGCACCACTTATTTTGCGTCAGGTACAGCGTGCCGGACGTAATTCAATTCACGAAGAAACAGTGCGTAATCAGCCTTGAATGTGGGATAAACAACGATCCACCAGTCTTCACTTCTTTACGCATTTTGCATTATTATGAACAGCTTACACGTAGGTCATTAGGCCAAATTCTTTTGAATTTTCCTATTAATCAGTAGTGATTCCCTTTACGGCTTAATGGACAATTTCAATGGACTGTGCCTTATGCGCCTATTTGGTGAACCAGATTTTGCCATGATGTAGATGCCCTCTTAGTCTTGGCGCAAGTCATTACTTACCCGACATTTTTTATTAAATCCGCTGTCGCGATTGGTAGATGCCTCCGATTTGCCCTCGGTGTCGGCCAGGCCAGTTGGCTCGCATGATGGTTAGCAGTGTGAATTTCATTGAATTTGCACGACGTAAACCCATGGATTTTAGAACTAGTCGCAAAAAACCCCTAGAATACCTTTTTAAAGAGGGTGAACAAGCCTGTAAATGTGTGAAGAACGTCCTGTTGTAAGAAGTAGCGTTTGTTTTCTCTGAATAAAAGTGATTTTCATGCACAAGGCGAAATGCTGGTGCCAATTAATGAAATTACAAACAGGCAAGTTTATTGTGCCTTAGGGACAGTTTCCATCACTCTTTTTCCACTTGATTTTTACGCTCAGTTTTAGCGTTTCGTCAATCCAAACCATCTACTGATTGGAGAATCCGTTTTTGGTTTTTCAATTCTGTGAATATTTTTAGGCATCTTGGTTTCACTCTTTTTCATTTAATATTTACCAATATTCTCTTTTTTGGGACTTGACTAAGAATTATGACTTGGCGGTTTCTCAACCATTGTATGTATTAGGGTTCACATGTTTTCAAATTCGACCCAATTTTATTAACCCAGCATACGCAGATTTGTGCGGGATGTGGTTCACTTTCTTTCACTTTCTTTCTTCTTCACTTTCTTTTTAATGTGCTTTATTTCATTGTTTGACTAGGTCTTATGGATCTCTTCCCCGAAGTGCAAGATGCGATGGCAGTGGCTCTGAGCGCGCTCAAAATCAATTCCCAATACCCCTTCCCGGCTCTCTTCACTCTCCTGGGTTTCTTTATGGTGCTATCTATAGAGCAATGTGTCCATATCTGTCACAACCGACGTCGCTGTCATCCACCCTACTATCGACGCTCCAATGCGACATCGGCGATAGGCACGCACCAGCACCACAACCACTCGCACGACCCCCAAATTATCCCCGGATCGGACGGTGAAGAGGGTGCCCCTTCAACCTTCCGCATTATGCTCCTCCTTATTGCCCTCTCCGTTCACTCCATTTTCGAAGGGCTGGCGGTGGGTCTGCAGCGAAGCGTTGCCGAGGTGATAACCCTCTTCTCGGCCCTCATCCTGCACAAAATCATCATGGCCATCAGCACTGGTGTCTCATTGGCCACTGCGCACAAAGAGCGAGGGGGTGGGATCGCGCGCTCTCAGTGGATGGGTGCGCTTTTCTTCGCTCTCGCCTCGCCCATTGGTGTGCTCATTGGATGGGCGTTGATCGCGCAGCGTTCCTCACCCGCTCTCCTCATGGTTGTTGCGGTGCTTCAGGGCCTCGCATGCGGCACTTTCTTCTTTGTAGTCTTCTGTGAAATGTTGCCTCACGAGTTTAGTGAGTCCGAGTCGGACACGCCGGATAGGTTGGGCAAGATCTTCTCCCTGGTACTCGGTTTTGCACTCACCGCTACCTATATTGCGTTTGAAGCGGAGTGAGGCTGCTACACACCGCTGGGAATGTGATGAGGTGGTTTTGTAATACATAATACGATCTTCATGTGCATACTCTGCTTATGGCGATTTTATTTATCTATCTGTGATTTTCGTTTGACACTTGATGAAATGATGCATTGGATTAAGTAAAGCATTCAAACCTGTGAAGTTTGCTTTTCTGAAATTTTTTGAATGTTTATTGGATGCGATTTTCATCAAAATATGATGGTATAGTTATCCTGGGAACATTTGTATTCATATCGGGAACAAATCGAGAATACTTTTCTCACTTATTGTCTTGGGTTACACTGCTTTACATCAAATCAAGATGCAATGGAGTTAGGAGTGGTTTTTTGTGATTGTTCATGGGTTAGATGATTTTATCTTAGGTTATATTGAACAGCTTGTAGAATACCACTTAGAAGTCGCATATTCGTGACAGTTTCTATCATAAAGGAAATTCCTAATGAACGAATATCGAACGAGTACTTAATCTAGGTTTCACAATTAAACAGTTACTTAAAACGGCAGGAACTCTAAAGTGAGATTAGCTTCGCCCTAATAGACCCTCAAATTGTTGAAAAGCAAGTCATTAAAGTCTGACCTTTTGAGCTAAATTGACAGATTTCCATGATCTCATCCTCTCTTGGTACCGAGTTTTGTCAATGGAATGTATGATGGCCATTCCGGGTTGTGGCTCGCTGCTCCTCAAGCGGTTGCAAAAACATGGGCAGTTAGCAAATATAGCAAAATGTCTGAGAAATGCCTCATGAAGGTTTTTTTTCTCGGAACGGTTGTTGCAGGCGGAGGGTCATAACGAAGCAACGTAGCAACCAACATATCAGTTGGTCAACCAAAATCTAATGCACTGATATTCATTTCTCCTCTAGCGAAAAATGTTACTTGTATTACTTGGTGACGTGATTGGCACGAATTGCTTGAGCAGAAAGTAATTTGCATAAATCAAATATCCTTGGTAGGTAAGTGTGTTTCTGTAGGATATGGTACTCTTGACACGGGCATTATGGGAAGCTATTCAGCAGAGTGGCCACTGGCCTCTATTTCTGCATTGAAGGGGTTGCATAGGACATTAGTCCTTGATGCGTTCTTGGTATTATTGTGGCTCTCCAAGTAGATAAACCCGGGGATTTCATATCTGGAAGACCAAGAGACCAAATGCTAGGAGAAACGCGGTAATGAAAATTCGCGACCATTTACTCCTGCTTAAAGCGAACAGTGTTTTCGGTGCGAAGTCCCTTTGTTCTTTTCCCTGTTACACTATTTAGTGCAGGAAGGTTAGTCTTTCTTGACTTTCCTCATTCACATCACGGATGGGAGAATTTTAATTTGACATTTTTGATTAGGATGAGTTGTTTTCCCTATGATAATGCAATAATAAAGTAAAGGAATAAATTGGCCTCACTGGATAACTATGCATCACAATGCACTGGCAAATATGCGGGGAAAATTCATCCTGACGTCGTATGAAGCCTACAATTTTCCATCCGAAAGTTCATTACTGCTGAGCTGCATTGTTGAATTCAAAATCAGTAATGTTTAGAGGGACTAAATGAAACAGTCTATTTCTTTCTTTTAGTGATAGTCAATTGGGATATTCCCATTGGAAGCAGTTGGATCTGTCATCTTCAAAATGCACCTCAAACTCCACTTTTCCTTTGGCGTTTTTACAACCAGGTGTTTTATTTCAATATAGAATTTCCCATATTACGATATAACTGCAGCGCCCCGGGACTTCTCTGAAGACGGAAAAAGACAACGCTCGGACAGAATATGCATTGTCGACGTACAGTATGGCTGGGCTGAGCCGAGGCTGGGTCAGGCGGTCCATAGAAGCGTCAGTGGCGGAGCCCTCAAGTGGCCTGCTACCAGAAACCGAGTAAAACAAATAAATGACGTATTACACAGTCCCTCTCCTCCTTTGAGCATCTTCCGCGGCGCTCCCTTTGGTCAACCTCCCGCATCAGCCATCACAACGTAATCGGTACTGTAAGAAAAACACCCACGAACCAACCGTGTCAGTTGTCGAACTGAGAAGATATTTGACCACACCGACACTGATCTCTCGTGGCAAGTCTACTGGATCCAGAGTTTTGCCCTGTATGGGAAATGGATTCGAAGATGGGGGAGTGCGAAGGCCACAACGCGGGTCTATAGATATTCGTGGGAATACGGGTCTAAAGCAGAGTCAAATACAAAAAAAAAACAGGATATATAATAGTTTTGTGGAGGTAGGGTTTAGTGCCTGTTCCTCCTTGTCACGTTGTTTTCACTTTGGCACTGCCCAGTCACATCTATCCGGGTTCTACTCAGCTGGTAGAGGTTCAGGAGGTATCGCGCGTTTGTATGATTGATGTCTTTAGATAGGAATGGTAGACAACTCTAACGTGCTTTCTTAGATGGTTCACGGCTGGTGCTGCTTCAGCTCTTAATAGCTTTCCTGCAGAACACATGATTGGGATTGCTGCCGACGATAGACGTCATTTTCAGCCCTTCTGTTGGGCTTGTCACAGATTCTCCCACCCACAGTATATGCACTTCATCCGTCACGTTATCACCCAGTAGTAGAAATCGGGATTGTTGCATTTTTAGATCTGGATCGCTTTCCACCACCATCAATGTTGCGCTTCGAGACTTCCTTGAAGACGAAAGAATGCATTATGCTCGGGCTGAATATGCATTATCTACTTACAGTAGGGTTTGGGGCTACCGGCATGGCCCGGAGGTCAGGCTAATCGGCGGAGATCCGAGCGGCCCGTCCTCAAAACTGAGAACGTTAAACAAACAGTCGGATTGTTATGTAATGCTGTCTATATTTATCAGCCTTTGACTCTCCATTAATGATACAGAAAACCGTTACTACGGTAAATTGTAGTATTTTCTTGTCAGAAAGGTCTTTATTGCAATAGAATATCATGATTGGGAGTAACCTTTCACAAAACGATAAAACTGCCCAAACTTGTGCCCCAGTGCTTTTTCTTACGTGACAAAGTAGTTTTTTATGGTTCATGATGAGGATTTCATGGAAATGGAACGCCCAGCGACCCGACGTTTATTAACGAAGCCTCTTGATGCGCACTAGACGTAGCTATTAAGGGTTATTTCTGCAATATTTAGTGCGTACTTCATCTTTTTTTGACTTGTTTTGTCAGCAATGGTAAAGTTTTTTGAAGTAGATGTCGTTAATAGTCCATTTTTCAAGCTGTACCGTAAAAGCCTTTTAGTACGCACACTACTAACGTCATAGGTGGTATGCGTTCATCAGTTTATAGTAACTGTTTGAACCAAATCATGACGAAAGCACACGTTCCTGATCTGGGCGTTTTTAGCTTTTGGATGGCGGATGAATTGGTCAGCTCTGGTAACGCAGGTGTTGTTGTCGTACTAGAAAATTGCAGTACCTGAACTTCAACGGTCGAATTTCCTCCTGCACCTTTGTAGCGACCGCATCACCATTTGGTGTGCCGTCCTTTGTGTCCTACTTGGTTCATGTACTTCTTCAAGCTAGAGTTTTCGTGGGTTTATTGTTCTAATTTTCTTCCCAGCAGTGATCAAAGCATTCCTCGCATATTGGACACTTTGAATGAGCAGCCCACCTTTTCATAGTTAAGCACTGAGGTGGTTGTTTTGCAAGGATAAATGGGACGTTGGACATCTACCCTGATTACTGGACGGCGTGTGTTTCAAATGCAAGGCAAATATTACTGCCACAAATGCCATTTAGATAGCCATTACATTGCAATCAAGTAACACTGCTAACTCACTCCCGACCATGTTACGGAAATGAAGATCATCACGGCTTTTAACACGACCGTGACACAAATGGCTAGTATATGCTTTGATAATGATGTCCACATAATAAACTAGGAAAATGAAAATGGGCAGCCATTCTCAAATACTGATTTACTCCCTGCGTCTTAGGTAAATCTCCTTGAACGGGTAACTAAGTCGAATTCAATCATTGTTTTGGCATGTTTTTGAGCAGCACTGTCTCGTAAAGTAAAAAACACTGTAAACCAGAGAGGTCACATTACTTATGCAAAAAGTTTTTCCTTTTTCCTACACCGGTCAAACCATAGAGTCCATTCAACTTAGTTTAGCACATTTGTTTCATAATGTAGGAGCAGTCGATGCATGAGCATTTACGTGCGGACACCACGGATGCGTGCATAATGGCAAAGCAAATAAGTAAACAACCATTTAGTTTGCTTAAGATTTGGAATCAGCCATGTAACATCTGTGTTAAAGTTTAGTCATTGTGTCCAAAATACTTACCAGAAACTTCTACATTCAAGGTTAGAAAACTGCTTTTAGTCAAAAGTAGTCTACAGTCTTTAAAATGAAAATAATCCTCACGGTCTGGATAAGTCAGCGGGTAGAGTTACCAATAACGAAACCATGAAAAATGTGGAATAGTTTTTCCTGTCATTATATCTTATTTGTGTTGGCTTTGACAAATGGAGTCGCTTTTATATGAAACAGTGTTTCCTTTAATACTATTCCCTTTTCTCCATATGAGCAGAAGTGTCGCGCCAGAATTACTTAAAATTGCACTAAATAGTGGCTTGAGTACTTGCGATTTTACATTACTGAGGTTAACCTTGGCTCAGTAATAGATATAAAATGTTTTTAGGTCCATTAATCAGTGACATCGTCTTGTTTTACTGTTTCAAGTCCTGGCGCTCTCTACTCCACATAACTGCATCTTCACCATCGGATTTTGTGATTATGTCTTCTGATCCCAGTTATGCGCCCTTCTTCGGGATTATGGGGGCCACAGCCTCAATGGTTTTTTGTGGTTCGTTATCATTTTCAAAACTTGTCATCGTTTAGCTTTCGGTGCGGCCTATGGCACCGCCAAATCTGGGGCAGGTATCTGTTCCATGGGAGTTATGCGTCCTGAACTCATAATGAAATCCATCATTCCAGTTGTTATGGCTGGTATTGTTGCCATTTATGGCTTGGTAGTGTCTGTTGTTATTTCTCAGCAGAGTGACAGGTCTAAATCAATGGCAATGTAATCTTGAAATATGGTCGATAATGGTGTTTAATCTAGTTCCCTTAAGCAGCTTGGCGGAGGTCTCAGCGTAGGTCTTTGTGGATTGGCGGCTGGATTCGCTATCGGAATCGTTGGTGATGCGGGTGTTCGAGGAACAGCGCAGCAGCCTCGTCTCTTCGTGGGGATGGTCCTTATTCTCATTTTCGCAGAAGTTTTGGGTCTGTACGGGCTTATCGTCGCGCTTATTCTCTGTAACTCGGCAGATTAATGTGCACTTGGTCCGCTTCATTTATCTCAACTTCTTCAACATGTTGTACCTAGCGTTGGTTACCTTTTGACAAACTTACATTTTGACCGCATCTTAACACTAACTGCATTCCACCATTTGTGACCATACTCTATTTCCTAGTGAGCTGATCCAGATTCTTTCATTGTTAAACTTCCAGTGTGTGTAATTGTGGTCGCTTCTAATTCATCTTTGGATTTTAAGAACTGTTGTGATTATCGTCTCGAATCCACTGATTTATTGAATAGCCGGCCTTACTGTTTACAATTAGTAACATGGTCTGAATATGCCGATACTAGTGGTAAAGTTGGCTCCTGCCCTCGCGTGCCATTGTTGTGGGCGTATTGAATAGTCGCCTCCTATGTATATGCCTACGTAAGTCTCAGTTGCATTGAGTTACTCTTTTAATTTCTTGACGTGAGCACCTGGTTTGATTACGCTATAATTCATGTGGCTTAACTGTGACCTCTGATGCACTCTTGTGTATGAGTTTTCATTGTAATTTTGTAGGCTTCCCAAGCGTCAGTACCTCATTAAAGGTGATGGTTCCTTTCTACAGTCCTCTTTCTGATTATTTGCGAGTACGGGATCCGTGCACTCCTCCCAGCCCGATCCGTGTATCATTAGTCTTGCTAAAATTCTCTTACAATGTTCATTTTCCTTTAGGGCATATAATCAGGTTTCTTTTACATGTCCCATATTTATTCATTTCTTTCTACTTTTAACATTAGCCCGCCCTCTTCTGGTTCCATAGTAAGCCTTGCCTGGCATTTTCTGCTGACATTTTTCATTGAAGCTGGTATGTGCAATCCGCGGTTTGACTACTCTCTCAAGGGCATCTGACCTGTAGAATTTCATATGCTGTCTTTAAAGCAATGTGATTCATGTTTTTCACTCGTGGCTCGTGCCTCAAAGGGAATTTGCTAAGTGTGCGAGACAGTTTCAAAGCCAAAAGGCCAGCAAGTATTTATAAACGTCTTCTACAGGAACCTTTTTTGGTTCGATTACGGTTTTAATGCTGGTTAATCTTCAGCATAAAACAATGATGTTTTTTCTAATTTTGTGTCTGGGTTTCTTCATTATTGCTTGTAACGAGGATCACCTGATTTTAAAGTGGCCTTCAGATTTACTTCATTGCTCTCTAGTTTGATGGCGTGTAAATGCGCAAACTCCCCAAGCATGGATTGTAATGCTCTTGGAATCCATAAGAAAAACGCGCGATTGTGCCTGTTATCGCCTTTGGCGTCTGATTATTTAGATTTACGCCATTCTTTAACTTAACCTACTTATTTCATGGGACGGTTGACCTTGCGACAGGATTCCACAGTCATTTGAATTGCCTTGTGAATTTGCAGATCCGTCGATCAGGATTAGGTGCCGCAGTTAGTGAGTCACATGCGCTGGTGTGTTAACGACGGCATTGAAGGGAATCTACAAAAGTGTTTGGCTCACATTGGGCCCTTCTCAACCCACGCCAACACGGATTTCCTTTTCTGGCGCTTAATGCTTGTTTGTGTTGAACTTATTTCCCCGCAGTGCATGGGAAGATGACTATCTGGGGGAATTTGCGATTTTTGTCAGACGTTTGATTCGTTCAACTTTTCCATATGTTATCGCACGTTGTTGGTGGTTCGTTTGCCTCACTTAAACAATTTTTGGTATCGCCAATTTTGTATTTGTTGATATCTACAGTTATGTCGAGAGAAATCTGCTGCTTCAAGTATCAAAAAGTTGCTATTGGGGGGTACTTTTTCAACCTGATTGTCTTGCGTTGCTAGCCTCGATTTGTTTCGAAATATGTTAGTGCTTGCATTAAAAGGTTTTGATTGCAGCCGGCACCCGAAACCAGGGAATTGGAAGGTAGAGGGGAGGCAGCGGTAGCGTATGCAGAGGCGTTCGCGTTCTCGCGGGCGCGTTGAGGCGATCGATGGTGCTCTCCCTCGCGCTGCTAATGCTGTTACCTATGGCCTCTGCTAGGGTGCGTGCGTTGTTCCGTTTCTACCAACGCATTCGTGGTGAGATTTGGGCCATGCATTTTAAATGCCTCAGTGACTTTCTCCCCTTCCTCTATCGTACTCGTAGCAGCTCTGGAAGGTAGTTTAAAGACGATTTTATGGAGAAGAGTAGTCTCCGATGTTCCACAACAAATGCTTTTCCTTAGTTTTGCATATGTGTAGGAAAAGGAATGGGGTCTGCAACTTTGTAAATTGTGTGCAATCACGAATGCGTGATGTGCCACTCCAGAAACCGTACTATTTTATGTTTGTTCAGGTAGTCCCCGGTCGGGAATTGGTGGGGGATGAGTGACACCCGAGTTCTTGGTTCTCTTTTTGCATAGTTTGCGGTGGTGTCATCATGGCTACGTATACATCGAGGGCTTCCTGCTCCTTCTGTGTGTTCAAAAAACCACCTTTCGTTCACGAATTTTTCAATTTTGCAAACTTTACTTATCATTGAGACCTAAAGCTGTGTTGGGAAGTAAGAAAGCACTTTTAGTCCTTGTTTACATGCAAATAGCGTGAGCTTTATTTTTAACGATTCAAATGCAGATTTGCGATACACTATTTTAAAGCAAAGCATTTGCAGTGATGAAACAGCTAACTTGATTTCAGACACGCAGGATATCTGTCGGAATAAAAGAGTCGTGACGAATGTGGCTAGCCGCAGTGATCCCTCTCCAACCCAACAAAACTGCACGGATTTATCTGGCCTTCTATTTGATAGGTTTGGTTTTGTCATAGATCCTAGGCGACCTGTCATTTCAATTAGGGCTCAAAGGAGAAACTCGCGGATTCATTTACGTCTATATCGCCAGTGGCCTTCTATGTAAACCTTACTTCAAAAGATATCATTAAGTCAGTCACGGAGTCCAATATATAATAGATGAACGAAACATCGCCGTTAGGGATTCTGCCCCATGACGACTTGCGTTTTGTGTCAACAGCTTCCAATAGTTAGAACGTGTAGAGCCTACGGCTATGATAGATGGCGCCAGTTTTGTCTGTTTCATGTACCTCAGCACAGCTGTGAGGACGTTGGAATGTGTATTTGGAATCAAAAGGCGCTGTACTTGAGGTACGGGGATGCGGTTTTGTTAATCGAATGGTAACTGGAATAAGCCAAACGATGAGGCAATGGTCGTTTAGTAATACGCTTGGCTGCCATGGTTTTATGAATAAGCATTTAAGTGTCAGTCGCGAATTTATACTTGCATGCTTCGGAGTTATTAATGCAAATGCTAAAAGCATGAATTCTTTCTTTAGCCCTATATATTGCATATGAAAATGAGCGCTACTTGTGTGTCGGCATTGCAGAGGTTAAGACAAATTCACATCTCAATGATAGTCGTTGGGCTGTGCTGTGGATGCACGTATCTGCCTACGTAAGTCATCTCCGTCGCGGCTTTGTGTGGTTGGTTGACCTACGCAGCAGGCATTTCCTTTGACCGTTTCATCCCCGTCGCGTGAGATCCGTGTTTCATTTCTTAACGCCTTGAAAAACTCCAGATACGGTAATTACTGCCTTATTACTTGTGGGAGCTTGTTTTATGAATCCAAGCCGATTATTGAGTGGGAAAGAGATATATCTAATGCCCCTGATAGTCACTCCTTTCGATGCGCCTTTTGAAATCACGAAGGTTGGGTGATTATCGACGGCATCTTATCACTTTAGCATTCATTAAAAATGACACTGGCATATGGTAGCTGGTTTATACCAGCAATTTTATGGGTTTTAAGTCAGTCTGTTATGTATACAGGCTTTCAGAATGTGACTCCAAGCTATGTCTGCAAGTGTCGAGTAGTTGTCCAATTTTAATCAAGATCAATTTCATTGTTTGCGTGTGTTGCGTCATGGAGAGAGCAACTTTGACGTGGTTGGCCCCAGCAAACTGGCAGTTTACAGCCTCACACGCCATTGCAATTGGATGTGCCCAAATGCAGAGTACTAGTGGCTACACGAAATGCACAATAACTTAATTACTATGATCTACTTTTTCCTCTTCGCTCTCGGGAGTTTTCAAAAAATTAACAATAAAATCCAACTATGGTTATTCAGAATCTGCGCATAGTTTTCGTACTTGGGACTGACACGTAGGAGTAAATGCATTGAAACCTCTTCTCTCCGAAAAGTTTGAGGTCTTTTAATTTAAAACGAGGTACCTAGGGGAGCGTTTTGTGTGGACGAAAGACACAAGGTTGATTCTGCCAAAATAGGAACACCGGACCCATGAAGAGCACGTGTGTGCACTAGACCAGCGTTGCGTATTGAACCTACGTAAACTTTTTGGGCATCTTTGTAATCCTTGTCACAGCGCAGCTCTCCCATCTACTTAGGCGCTGTGGCGATTGTTCACTTTCAGTTTTTTGAGTAGTACCATGATTTTCGGCATTACTATGTATTCACTGTCAATAGCTTAAGAATTCTACCCGAGATCAAATCTCTTTTGAGCATTGTAGGTACTGTTACAAGAGGTGATACATCGGCTATCTTGCAACACACAAGAAAGTATTTTATTGTAAAAGCGGTACCACGGAGCACATGAAGATCCATTTCAGCGTGTTACACACCCGCGGTCTACTTATTTTTCACATAGGGTCAACGATGCAAGGGTGCCTACGTAGATGCAGTAATTTTATCGCGTTTGTGCGACAATTTTTTCTGTCGTTCTTGGCTTAAACATGCTTGGAATCGCAATTAAGCATGGAGTTTAACTATCGTTTCTGATACCCAGTTTAACTATGGCAATGTATCAAATGCCAGCTCTCGAAGCAAAACTTTAGCCGTTGCGTTGTCCAGGGATTATAAAAGTGATGCATCAATTTGCCAATCTCTTCAAGAGACATATTAGAATTTCATTAGAGAGTGTGTGAAACAACTGGCTACGATAGCTTCGCCAACTGTCCATCGAATGCTAGCAGAACGCTATGATGATCATATTTCTGAGTGATCAAATGTGAAACCAAGCACTGAAGGTTATGTATTTAAGAGTTTGGCAATGACAGGCGCCCGTTTTGTCTCCCCCTAACCTAGAGCTTGTTTGTCACCAACTTTGCAAGCGAGACTGATCAGAATTTGGGTACAAGTTTGGCAATTTAGCACTTATTAGGCTAAATATTTGACTTTACATACTTTTCTGTCCCCTCTGTATTTCCACTTCGGCGATGTGGCCAGAAGAACGTTTCCATGGTGCCCCAGTAGTTAAACACATCATTAGCAAATCTTTCATGCTACTGCTTCCTGATATGATAATTCCAATGCATTGTCCTTCGATCTTAAATTTTTACCCTTTAGTCAAGGATACTGATTAGAGGAAGACATTATGCGGCCCAAAAATGTTGGGCCTTACGAATGATCAAAGTCTGGTAAAAGGATTAAAGCTTGCCACCTCCTAGGCGTCCTTAGACAACCGTGACCGGAGCCAAAACCCCACGGACGACTCAAGACTTTACAAGAGCATGCTTGCATGGACATGTTAAATGTCCACAACCGATTCAGCTTACCTTGGACAGAATTTGCAGATATCATTTCGTAAAGCTAAAAATCATTTCTATGCTAAAAAATCATTCAAAACAACTCCTCTGCAGCAACAGATTTAATTAAAATAAACAAAAAACATCACTTTTAGGTATGGCAAAGAGGGTTTGTTCAGATTAACATTGCTATTCTCTACAGTTTTGAAATTTCGTCTGCCCTTATTTCGGCTATCCCATATATTTTAGCAAGCGAAAAGCATGGTTAATTTTAACCAGACTTTAGCCAAAAACCAAATAATCTAAATATTTGCCTGACTTCCTACGTATAAACATGCTATTATGAGGTGAAAACGCTCTCATTGTCTGATGTGGTTAATTTATGAACGACCTAGGTCTCAGCCAAGGGCAACTACCCCACAGCCGATACAGTTGCAGGTCTCGGGGCACGTTTCGTGATTCTTTTGGGAATGGCTCAGCCTCCTACACAGGAGAAACTTACTCGAATAGCCATTGTCAGCAGTGATAAATGTAAACCGAAGAAATGCAAGCAGGAATGTAAGAAGTCCTGCCCAGTCAACAGAATGGGTAATGTTTTTCACACATTTACCTATTTATATTTAGGGAAACTTTGCATTGAAGTAACTCCTCAAGATAAATTGGCATTTATTCTTGAGGAGTTGTGC